CATGACTTTTTATGCCTTACTATACTATGACTTTTTTATGACTTTTTATGCCTTACTATACTATGACTTTTTATGCCATACAATACTATGATGTTTTTATGACTTTTTATGCCTTACTATACTATGACTTTTTTATGACTTTTTATACCTTACTATACTATGACATTTTTATGCCTTACTATATTATGACTTTTTTATGACTTTTTATGCCTTACTATACTATGACTTTGCATGCCTTACTATAATGTCATTTTTATTACTTTTATGCCTTACTCTACTATGATTTTTTATGACCTTTTTTGCCTTATTATACTATGACCTTTTATGCCTTACTATACTATGAGTTTTCATGCCTGACTATACTATGACTTTTCATGCCTTACAATAATATGTCATTTTTATTACTTTTATGCCTTACTATACTATGATTTTTTATGACTTTTTTTGCCTTATTATACTATGACTTTTTATGCCTTATTATACTATGATGTTTTTTTCACTTTTTATGCCATACTATACTATTATATTTTCATGTCTTTTTATGCCTTACTTTACTATGTTTTGTTGTTGTTTTGACATTTCATGCCTTACTATACTATGACATTTTTGTCGTTTTTATGTCTTACTATACTATATGGTTTTTATGACTTTTTTTGCCTTACTATACTTTGTCCTTACTATACTATGACATAGTATATTAAGGCATAAAAAAGCATAAAAATATCACTTATAAAAGGCATAAAATGTGATAGTCTTAAAATAGTAAAGCAGAACAATGTCATAGATGAAAAAATGTCATAGTAAATTCAGGCATAAAAATGTCACAGTATAGTCACAAAAGTCACAAAAGGTCATTAAAAAAAGTCATAGTATATTAAGGCATAAAAAGGCATAAAAATTTCAGAGTATAGTAAGGCATAAAATATCAAAAATGTCACAGTATAGTAAGTTATAAAAAGTGATGAAAAAAAGTCATAGTATATTAAGGTGTAAAAAGGCATAAAACTGTCATAGTATAGTAAGGCATAAATATTGATGAAAAAAAGTCATAGTATGTTAAGGCATAAAAATGTCACAGTATAGTAAGGCATAAAAAGTCAAAAAAACGTCATAGTATAGTAAGGCATTAAAAGTAAAAAAAAAAAGTCATAGTATAGTAAGGCATTAAATCTCATTAAAAAAGTCATAGTATATTAAGGCATAAAATTGTCACAGTATAGTAAGGCATAAAAAAATCATAAAAACGTCATAGTATAGTAACGAATAAAAATTCATGAGAAAGACATAGTATGGTAAGGCAAAAAAATGATGAAAAAAAGTCATAATATAGTAAGGCATAAAAATGTCACAGTACAGTAAGGCATAAAAAATCATAAAAATGTCAAAATATTAACATAGTGTAAGGCATAAAAATTGATGAAAAAAAGTCATAGTATGTTAAAGCATAAAAATGCATAAGAATGTCACAGTATAGTAAGGCATAATGAATAATTAAAACGTCAAAGTATAGTGAGGAATAAAATGTCATAAAACCTGATCATAGTGTTAGGCATAAAAATGTCATACTATAGTAAGGCATAAAAATTGATGAAAAAACATCATACTATATCAAGGCATAAAAAGGCATAAAAATGTCACAGTATACTAAGGCATAACGTCATAATACAATAAAGAATAAAATTCCATAAAAACATGATCATAGTGTAATGCATAAAAATTGATGAAAAAAAGTCATAGTACATTAAGGCATAAAAATGTCACAGTACAGTAAGGCATAATGAATCATGAAAACGTCATAGTATAGTAAGGAATAAAATGTCATAAAAACATGATCATAGTGTAAGGCATAAAAAGTCATGAAAGCGTCATTCTATAGTAAGGCATAAAAATGTCACAGCATAGTAAGGTAGTAGAAGTCATAAAAAAGTCATGCTATAGTAAGGCATAAAAATCATGAAAAAAAGTCACAGTATAGTAGGGCATAAAAAATTATAAAATTGTCATAGTATAGTAAGTCACAAAAGGTCATTAAAAAAAGTCATACTATATTAAGGCATAAAAAGGCATAAAAATTTCAGAGTATAGTAAGGCATAAAATATCAAAAATGTCACAGTATAGTAAGTTATAAAAAGTGATGAAAAAAAGTCATAGTATATTAAGGTGTAAAAAGGCATAAAACTGTCATAGTATAGTAAGGCATAAATATTGATGAAAAAAAGTCATAGTATGTTAAGGCATAAAAATGTCACAGTATAGTAAGGCATAAAAATTGATGAAAAAAAAGTCATAGTATAGTAAGGCATTAAATGTCATTAAAAAAGTCATAGTATATTAAGGCATAAAAATGTCACAGTATAGTAAGGCATAAAAAATCATAAAACATGATCATAGTGTAAGTCATAAAAAGTCTTAAAAACGACATAGTATAATGAGGCATAAACATTGATGAAAAAAAAGTCATAGTATAGTAAGGCATAAAAATTGATGAAAAAAAAGTCATAGTATATTAAGTCATAAAAAGGCATAAAAATGTCAGTATAGTGAGGCATAATAAATCATAAAAACGTCATACTATAGTAAGGCATAAAATTGTCATAGTATAGTAAGGCTTAAAAGGTCATTAAAAAAGTCATACTATATTAAGGCATAAAAATGTCACAGTATAGTAAGGCATAACGTCATAGTATAATAAGGAATAAAATTTCATAAAAACATGATCATAGTGTAATGCATAAATATTTATGAAAAAAAGTAAGGCATTAAAGGTCATTTAAGAAGTCATCGTATGTCAAGGCATAAAAACATCATAGTACAGTAAGTCATAAAAAAAATCATAAAATTGTCATAGGATAGTAAGGCATAAAAATTGATGAAAAAAAGTCATTGTATATTAATGCATAAAAATGTCATAGTATAGTAAGGAATAAAATTTCATTAAAAAAACAATCATAGTGTAAGGCATAAAACGTCATGAAAACAATATAGTATTGTAAGGCATAAAAATTGATGAAAAAAAGTCATAGTATAGTAAGGCACAAAATATAAAATTGTCATAGTATAATAAGGCATAAAAAGTCATGACAAGTCAAAGTAAAATAAGGCATAAAAAGTTATTTTAAAAAGTCTTAAAATAGTAAGGCATAAAAAGGCATGAAAAGGTACAATAAGGAATAAAAAGTCATAAAAACATGATCACAATAAAAAGGCATAAAAATGTCTTAGTAAAGGAATAAAATGTTATAAAAACATGATCATAATATAAGGCATAAAAAGTCATGAAAATGTCAAAGTATAATAAGGCATAAAAAGTAATAAAAAAGCCATAGTACAATAAGGCATAAAATTTATAAAAATGTCATAGTATAGTAGGCAAAAAAATGTTATAGTATTGTGCTAGTAACCTGACTGCTAGCCCGCAGAAGACAGGGTTAGCTTTCTAGTTAACACTAGTTGACATGGTTAAATAACAGTCAATCAGTTGGCATTTTTCTGGTGACATAAGGCACCACTGTGATATTCTCACGTGATGTGAGCCTTTGGATAGTACCCCGCCCTTTTAGGCAATCAAATGCTAGCATGCCTAAATCGGTTGTGTTGGAGATGTAGACTCAGGGAGTGCACATGTGAATGATCTGACTTCATTAATGTGAACAAGGTCACTCAAATATTGGTATGGAAAATTCTGTCCTCCCAAAATATTGGTAGGAACATGTCCCTACCGTCCGTCCATATGCAAACCTATGCCCTTGGAGTTAAATACATGTTTTAGATGTTTCTCGAAGCTTAGAAAGTATTACAATAAAACATACAAGATGTCTTTATCTTGATTTTGTAAATAGTAGGCGTATAGGCTAATAGTTATAAGCAGTAAGCAACAATCACCGTCATTGCAGATAGCAAATAAGGAATTATAATACAGCCTGATCAATCTCAACAGGGCTGCCGGCTGCTGTGCAGTCCAGCCACACCGGGCTCTGAGAATTTGTGCCTCTTCTCCAGGTACAACAATTGTAAAATGCAATCAACTTACAATAAATAAAAAATAACATTTCAAAAAATCTTGTGAACGGTAACAGCGGCTCCTGGCATGAGAGTACGCGCAGTCTCCAGATGCAGCTGTGTGCCATAGGTATGGGCATGTATGCCAGTTGCATCTGGCGGTGCCACACCGATTTAAATGTTTTTATTTCCGTGTTCAATGCCTAATTTAACAACATGAAAAAACGTTAATTGGCAATTGGATAGTTACCTATCCTTCTGTATTCCCTGTGAAGTCTTTTTACTTCACTAGGCCTACATTTATCTGAGTTTTAGCCTTCAATAAATAAAAACTACCGAACAGCTTCAAAGCGAATGAATCCATATTCCTTGTAGGAATGACAGGACTTTACACCACACACTGACTTGTAATTTCTTAAAAGTATTTATTGAAATTGTACAATCCTGTTATAACCCCGTTTTATGACATCTCCCATGCAGAACTGTGATGAGAAAAACTGTAAATATGTCTTGAAATTCACATTTTAGCAATTTCTTAACTGACCTTCCCTTCCTGAAAACCTTATAAGCCCCAAAAAATAGAATCTATAAAAGGCAAATCTCTCATAACTTTGCTGTATTTTCCTTTTTTCACATCATCATCCCCCCTTTTCCCTCCCCCCCAAAAAAGCCTGAAAACTAATCACACACAACATAAAATTTTAACTGCAGTACAGATCTTAAGTTTTCACGGTTGCTTAAATGGAAAAATCTTCAGTTAAACACTCTCCCCATTCAAACTGCCAAGAAAAAGTGGGATCTGTCCCACACCAGATCCAGGACCAGATTAAATCTTATTGTTCTTCAGGGTAGCACATGAACAACCACGGTAGACGAGATACGTTCTACTTGACCCATGAGTTAAATCTACCACCAGAATTTTAGGATTTCTGTTTTCACTCTACATGTAAACAATTTGTCAGTGCACATTCACTGTATAGGGTTTTCACTTAAAATATCAGGTGGTAAATTGAACACAGTGGATTTTAGGATGAAGTAACATCAACAGAATAGAATAAAACCTTAACTAAAGGTGGGAAGTTGACTCAAACCAAACTCAGATTTATTATCTAAAGAGTAATTAAGAGGTGATTTGGATACAGGTACATTCACTACGCTCAGCGTGGCATTTTGCATTGAGAATGATGACAATTCCTCAATGGTGTAAGAATCAAACATCAAGTAGATTAATGTCTCAAACCCTATTTTAAAGATTTATTTTACAGATTTATTAATTTGTCACAAACATGAATGCGCCATAATAATGCATTTTCTTTGACAGGTTAACTTAAAAACCATTTTATTTGTAAAGAGAGGGAGTCAGAGACCAGTTCAATTGCATAGCAATTTAATCCATGTCCAATAAGGACTCTTTCCCTGTCACAGGGAGAGGCCCTGTGGTCACTCTCAATCAGCGTTTTAAATCGACCAAGACAATATCAATAAAACTATTGATAACCGCTCACTATCTCTAATAGTGACCATATTCAACAGGCATCGTAGGGTCTTAAAAGAAGCCGTTCCTACACACCATGACTAAATGTCCACTGTACGTCCCCCATTCTAAACCACCAAATTACAGTAAATACAAGATGGGCAGTTTACTTAACAATCAAATCCAAGGTTTGTTTTGTGTCAAGTCAAAGGCTTCCAGGCTCATGTTGGGTAGGTGGTACAGAGAATCTTGTTGAAACGGAAAAAGAAAAAAACATGAGAAACATGCATGGGGTAGGCTTTCCTAATGCCACATACTGAGTGTGCACACAGACAGGCACAAACGCAGATCTCTAATGAGAACCCTCCCAGCTCATGCAGCACAATGCATCTGATCAGGCCCATGGGGCATTTTTGTCAAAAGCAAAGTGCTACATGAGGAGCAAGGGCTTCCCGTTGAGATGCAGCCTATACAGACACCAGTCTCCATTGCAGGAGAGGGTTTCTACTACACATCACAATCTCTATCCACAGTTTGGAGTTCAGTCTCGGAATGTCAACAGCAGCACGTTTTGTCTCTCTCTGTCCTTTCGCATCCCTCCCTCTGTCACTGCAGGTCTCGGTCTTCAAGGTACCTATACTCAAAGGTGAACCCCTCCTTCTTCCTCTGGCCCCATTTCTCATAGTCAAAGTAAATGTAAGTGCCCTGGAGGAACAACAGAGCGGAGAGAGCAATCATTAATAATCCAAAACGGCATACAACAAACAGACTATCTTCAGGTACTATGGAAATGAACTGTGGTGAAGCTGCACCTGTTCAAACTCGTCAGTGATAGTCTTGGGCTCCTCGTGCCTCTGGAACCACATCATGTACTTGGTGTGAAACCTCCATGACTGTTTCTTCAGAGCCTTGGCAGACAGATACTGAGCCTTGGTGCCCTGAGAGAAGGAGGTCAGAGAAACCATTAAGCTTACAAGCATGACTTAAATACATCATGAAGAAGAGAGAAACGGCAGAAGGGGGGGAGAACTGAAAGGTTTACTGGGAGTAAATATGGAGTGGCTGAGTTGAGTGAGTGCATGGTTACCTCCAGGTAGTAGAAGATGAAAAAGAGAGTTTCTGTGGACAGTCTCTGGTAGAACTCTATGGAATCAGAGTGGTGCGGTGGTATCTGATGATGGAATGGCAAGGTGGGACACGGGTTCCTCATCAGGTATTGCCTGTAGGACAGAAGCATGAACAGTTACCAATCCACAACAACATACAATAGATCATGGCAATTTCTTAGCAATTGATACTCTAACAGGTGTAAGTTGTGTGCTTGTTGAGCGCTATTTTCAGCCACAGATTTGGTGTGCTAGTAAGTATTTACAGCAACAGGATGGTGTGTGTGTGTGTGTGTGTGTGTGTGTGTGTGTGTGTGTGTGTGTGTGTGTGTGTGTGTGTGGGACTGACTATAAATATACTACAATGTCTGTTCATAATTACAAAGCATGTCACTCAGTGCAACAGTGTACCTCATTGATGTGGAATGAACTAGATCAGGCTTTTGCTGCACTAGCAATGCTTGGTAATAATGCTTATGGTAATAATGGTATAATGAATTAATAGCTGGTTTTGGTCTTTTTGTGTGATTTGATGACAAGAAAAATATAAAATATCAGACTTAATTTTGTGTAGATCATGTAATAGAGAATTTCAGTTTTTCATGATACAGCAAAAAATAAAGTCTTTATACCAGGATTAAAAATATATTGTTAACTAATCATCAATTTATTGTCATTAATAAATTGTTAAAGTGAATTTGTGAAATTATTGTAAAACTGATTTCAAGCCAATAAACAAGTGTTTGTGTTTGTATCTGTCCTAAGTCATAAAACCATGTAAGATACGTTATAAATGGGTGTAAAAACTGTGATGCCTTTACCTGATCCTCTCAGAGTCTGAGGGGTGTGGCATGTGTGTCCAGGCGGACTCTTGCATGGCCTGCTGATAGAGCTGGTCTTTGGGGAGAGGGGTGGGGCCCAGTGGACAGACCCCGAGCGATGGGGGGATGCTGACTTCCGACACGGACGGCTGAGGGGCGGCAGGTGTGCCGGGTGCCGCAGATGAACCAGAGAAGATGTCTACAGGATGAAGAAAAAGTGAAGAACTGTGTCAGTTACACAAATATAGACCACAGCTCCACTTCATACTAATTTCCCAATCTTTCAATGTCTTTTCTTTCTTGATAAAGTAAATCTTTTATGCTCTGACTTCTTCTATGGAGCACTTTTCTACTTCCAAAGATTTGCAACACTGGAACATTTGACTAAGTGTAGCGAAGAAACTGATGAATAATTTAGTCCAGAAAAAGTATAAAACAATAATAAAAGTTCAACCAGAAACAGAAAAAGAAAAACAATGATATGACAGTGAAAGATGCAACCAGCTGTTGTTTAGTGAAAAACTTACTGAAAAAGTTGAAATCAATTTTCTGTCAGTTGACTAACTGGTTAATAATTCAACATTATAGTGTGTTTTCACCCTACTCACTATGAGCTGCTTGTAGCATAGCATCATCTACTACTACAGTTGTTACAAGTTGCTTTGGAGTAAATACACTTCTTTCTCAGTAGCTGGCACGTGCACAGCATACAGTGATAGGAGGTTTACACTGTGAAATTAATAGCTGACAATTCTTCAGTAAATTCATGTAGAAATAATGCCTGACCATTCCGACCTCTGTCTGTCAGGTGCAGGTTGGGAATCTCTCCATCTAGGCCTGATCCCAGTGCTGCTCTCTCAGCCATCGCCTTCAGAGAACTGAGAGGCTCAGGAGCCTGGGGAGGGAAACAACATTATATTAAGTATAATTATGTTGAAAAGGAATACCAGTGCAGGAAAATGAATTACGAAAACAAACTGCTACACGGACCTGCAACAAACTAAAACGCTCAGAGATGTCTTTATGCAGCCACGGTTATGAACAGTGACCTGCACTGGATACACTAAGTAATGTGTTCCAAAACAGTCATAGCATTTTCTATCACAGTTAATGTATGCTTGCAGGCTGCCTTAGGCTTTAGATTTTACACTGTCCAACGCTGTCTTTTTTTGATATGTTCTTTAGTAAATCAAAAAAATCTTCACATCACATAATTTCTGTCTAAGTGTGCCATTACGTACATGCAGGCTTCTTTGTTTGGTATAAATGTGGCTGAGGTTTGTGTGCACTCTGGGATCTCATAGCAGTGCTATTTACGGCTAAGGATATTGAGAGTATCCAGTAATGTACCAAACAAAAGTGAAAAACTATGCATGACATCTCAGTCTTCTGCTAATTCAAAACGGATCCAGCAGCCTGGTTATTTATTAGAGCTCAGCTGTCCATAGGAATGATTTAAGTGAGGAAATGGCCAAAAGGGACGCCAGACATTTTAATATAACACTGCCCAAGTATTGATAAAGGGTGTTCCTCTTTGTAGTATGATGGCAGATACTCCATAATAATTAAGCTGACAAAGCTTTAATATTCCACACACCTTTCTCATAATCTCAAGTTTTGTTTTCTCTGACAATCTCTTGGTGCAGTAAACTCAAGAAGCCGCTGCTACACCTGAGTGTAATCTAACCGGTTCTCACTGCAAATTCTGGTTACTCGATTAGATAATTAGGTGACTGACAAAAGCCTATGACTAAGTCAGTCGACATGTCGTAACTCAACCTTGCTGGCTCGGCTCACCTTGAGGCCCTCAGAGGCCTGTGTGTAGGAGTGGGGCCCATTGAGAAGACTCCCTCCACCAGGTGTGCTGTCTGAGAATGAGGGGGACGGAGAGCTGGGAGGCAGGGTAATGGAGCTGATTAAACTGGGACCATTGTCCATCCTGCACCAGGTGTAGTGGAAACAACAGTAAGACAAAGTTAAGTTCTGTCATAAAAGAACAAGAAGAAACCTCAAGTTTCAGGAGGCAGACATTAAATAACTTACGGCTGACTGGTTGAGGAACTGAGAGATGAGGGTTGGCTGCTTTGCGACTGGCTCGGTGTGCTTAGAGCTGATTCTGTGGAGCTCTCTGCTACTACAGCACTGTAACCTGCGGACAGATGACAGGAAGAAGTGGAAAAAAACTCTTTATAAAGAGAAGACAATGTTGACTTTAACAGATAAGTAAGTAGGCACATAATCCCGATCTTAACAAGTTAACATACTTGTGCTTCCATTTTGCTTGAGTCCACTTGGTGGTCTAGCAGGAGCAGCATTCACCCCTACTCCTCCAACCACGCCGACGTTCCCTCCATTTCCTCCCATCATGCCAACTACACTGGAGGTAGTGCTGACAGAACTTGGGGGCACCTGTGAGGCACCAGGGGCCACACTTTGGCCAGGAACCAGACCCAGAATACTCCCACTCAGAGAGCTGTGAGCCGGACTGGAACCGAGTAAACCAAGCCCTGTCCCCGCCCCGTTGGTAGTGACTCCACTGGAGCCAGAGGTGGGAATGGAAGTGCTGCTCTCCACTGAAATGCTGGACTGGGTGGTGCTGCTCAGACCCAAGCCTCCTGATGCTGCTGCCTGAGCGTAAGGGGCAGGTGTGGAACCCGAAAGGAGCCCTGCCATTGTGTTTAGAGGTGTGGGGTGGCCACCCAGCCCTAAACCAGGCATTTGGTTGGCACTGCTGGTCCCTGTCAGGCCACCTTTGCTCAATCCCAGCCCTAGCCCGATTCCCAAACTGGATGCTGGGGTGGGCCCGGATGTGGGCTGAGACTGAGAGTTGGGAACTGATAAACTGGGTGTGCTGGGTGTAAGTAGAGAGGGGGCAGTGGAGGCTGGGAGTAGGGGGTTGCTGGGTGGGCTGGGGGTGTTGTTTGAGGGGACAGAAGGTTTTGTCTGAGTTGGCTGCTGCTGTTGTTGCTGCGGTTGGTTTGGTGGCTGAGGTTGTTGCTGCTGTTGTGCAGGTTGATGTTGATGTTGCTGCACCGCACTGCTGAAGCTTCCTATTAGACTGCTGCTCGTGGGGACTGGAGGAATGCCTCCAACAACACTCGCCATGGACACAAGGGAGGAGGATGAGGAGGACCCAGAGGTGGTGGAGGAAGAGAAAGAAGATAGCAAGGATGGGGTGCCATTCTTCACAGGTGACTGAAAATGATATAGCGCCAGGGAGAGGCATGTCAGACAAAAACTGTGCAGAAATCAACTTAAGTTGTACAAATTGCATTAGGAGTAAAGTTTACTGTAAATTATGGAGGCCCATATATGCAGGAGATGGCACAAACTAAATCAGAAGTCTCCAACCATGGTCCCACAGAGAAACTTATTCCATTTCAGTGCCTGAGAGGCCAAGACCCTTCAGCCACCGTAACTCTTCAGGACCAAGGGTGAAGAGCGCTTCACTAAACTTTTCATCTACTGACACAGCACAGATGAGAACCTCTCACCTGACTAACTTCACTGTCTGTCGACCGTCCCCTTTTCTTATCGTCCTCTGAGTTCTCCTATAGGAGGAGATACCTTGATATGACATTCCACTTCTGAAACGTTGATGCAGCAAACTAGCCAGTGGATTACAACACAATGGGGCTTGTAGAAGGGTTAAATTAATGCAAACTTAAGAGAGGGAATATGTGCAAAATTGCATCAAAATTTATGATTTCTACCCACCATCCCTTTAACATTTTATGATACAAAGACAAGAACTTACAGCAGTGCAAGTGGCCGGGGATGGAGGGATGGGTGAAGAGGAGGTGGTGGAAGTGGGAGTGCTGCTGGAGTGGAGATACATCTCATCTTCCACATTTCCCTGACCTGACGGAGAAGTTGCAACTAATGCTGCAGCTACAAGTAAAAGATGAGACAGAAACAAGTGTCAAATGTCATTATATCATAACACCATCTAAACACTCCACAGTGCTGTACTCACGGATGTCTTCCAGGTCTAAGTCATCATACAGGAATTCGTTCTCCTCAAAGTCTGGGTCTTGGGACGAATCAATGTAGTATTCAACATCATCCTTGATCTTCTGGATTGCATCCACTGGCACAGAGTCATTGTCCAGCATTCGTAAAATGGTCTCCAACATACGAATGTGGAATCTATGCCTCTCAATCAACCGCTTGAGCTCTTCAATACGGTCTTGCTTCTACATGACAGAAAGAAGACAAATATGAGGTTTATGATAAATATGTTAGCAGCAGTTTTATAACACTACAATACACTGGATATGGGAGGGGAAAACGTTTTTTATAAGTGACAAAAAAAAAAAAATCCTTGAAAAGGAAGAGATGGGGGAACTTACCTCTTTATCACCCTTCTTCTTTCTCGTCTGTACTGAAAGAGATTCCACCTCACTTTCAAACTGATCCACCTGCATATTTAGAGTGTCTATCGTATTCTGCAGGTGAGGAAAAGATCAGAAAAAGGCTGTTAATAGATTTATTCAAAATTTCATCCTAAAACAGATTCTTAATTAAAAGGCCTTATTTAATAAGACTCAATTAATAAGTTCTTAATAGTTTATTTTACTAATTCCTTCACTAATTTAATTTGTTTTGTTTTCATTCTAAAGTTGTGTGCTTTTTCTTTGCTTTTGGCATAAAATATTTTTAGGCAATAAAAAGATCGATGGTGTATTACTGTTAGCCACTGTCCCGTTTCCTCCTTTTCCCTCTGAGCTGGATCCACTTTCTGAGCGAGCCCCAAGCCTTCTTTAGAATAGGCTTTTGTTTTTGTTTCACGTTCCACCACCTTAAACCGCTCCATTTGCTAAGGCAAGAAAAATCACATAAGCCTTATTTAGTTACATGTGCTGATGCAAAGACATCATGAAGTTATACTTTGCACACCCTCGAAAAAATTATTTAAAAGAAAAAAGGAGACAATAAAGAGCCATACCGTCTCTATAAGTTTGCGGTTCTCGACTAGCTGCCTTTTGTCTTTGATCTCGTTTGAGGCCACCCATGTTTTTATCTGGTCTCTCAATCGCTGGGAAGAGCACAGGCGGTGAAAATATTAAAACATATTTCCCACTTCAGATAAGCACACTACTGATCAAGAGTGTAGATAAATATAATAATAATAATAATAATAAAAATGTGTGTTTGTTAACTTACCTGTAGTTTTTTAATCTCTTTCTTGAGGTCAGCCTCATATTTTTCCTTCTGATTTGCATTGGCTGCATTGTGGAGCTAAAATGTTTGCAAATAAATGAGATATTATAAGTTTTGCCACCGATGGTTTTTGAAATGCAGCTTTGAACAAATTCAAGATGTGAACGTATTTTACCTTTTGCCAGATATCTTCAAACTGTTCTACGCCTTCAGCTACTTTTTTCAAACATCTATCGATCTCACCTGTGAGGATAAAAGATGTGGTCCAACATCACTGTATATAAATCTGTGCAAAACCAAAAGTCCTTCACAACTTGTTAAAGAAATAAACAAACTAACACACTGGTAGATGAAGTCAGTCTGAGTCTGTGCAAGATGCCAGTGGGATGGATCTTGTGCAACATTACTGACAGGTTCACCAACAGTCTTACCTTGAAGTTTTCTCTTGTCAGCCATGGCTCTGACTACGACAATGTCCACATTCCGTCTGTCACAAAGTTAGCTGTGTAAAGAAAACAAGACGTGTATCAAAGATAATTCAACAACATACAAATCCCTTCAACAGAGCCATCAGTACATCGGCATCTAGAGAGGGGAACTGACGTTGACTCCAGCTAGCTGGTCGGTTACCGTTAGCTGCACAAATAATGTCAGGATTTAAAGACATTTTCAGCCACAACTCCGTGTGACCGTTTGTCTATCGTTAAATTTCCGTGACCGCAGCTGATATTGCTAATGTTACCGATATAACTGACATGATTGTCAGCTAAAATTAGCCACCTAGCCAGCTAACGTTACTGAGCTAACATTAAGACGAGCCAGTTGCTTAGCTCGTGCACCTCGCTCGATTACTAACTAGCCCGTATCAAAACAAGTACCACGGAGCATGTTGATGGTTGGAATTCATATTCATGCATCATTATTTTGGGGTCCAGTATAGCTTTTATATGGTGGTTTTACGTTGTGAAAGTCACAATATATCAGAATCCGTTCAAATCGTTAACCTGCTAGCTAATGTGGCTAACTGTCTGGCTAGCTAATGTATAAAATGCTAGCTAGCAGCTTAGCTAGCCAAATTTAGGAAAAAGGGAAACTGGGTCAACCCGAGCATCTAGATTTATACTTGATTACGACATTTACCTAGGGTATGGACTTTCGTTTGTCTTTTTTCAAATACAGCCAGAACTAATTCCAGAAAGTCTTCTTTACTTCCAAATTGTGTTTTCTTTTCGACAAGCTCGCTCACTGTAATGTAGTTGAAGATGGACGGTAGCTAAAATCCCACCTCCGCGTTCAGAGCCCGCCCTAAATCCAATCTTCGAGATCTGATTGGGCAGAACTCACGCCTGTCAATGAGACGCATCCGCTGGAATGGGGACCAGTCATTGGCTCAGCGGTGCGATGAATTTTGATCGACACAAAACCGAAGCTGCATCTGAAGTCACACATTTACAATACTGACTTTCTGCAACATTTCTATGTAGTTAACCTTTAATTCCTAAAGTCACTGTATGGATATTGCTATAGATTACTTACTTACTTTAGATAGATATTGACTCATTCGATCATTCATGGTAGCAAGAGTAAGAAACTGATCTCCATGACAACTGAGCCAGCTCCACCCTCTGCAGAAGACTGTGAGATGAGGCTAAAAGCTCCAAAAAAATATAATAAGCAAACTTTGATTTAAGATTTTTTTTTTTTTTGGCAGATAAAAGAAACTGTATTTACAAACACTGCTTTTCATTTCTACCTCAAACTGAAACTTGAACTACTGTATTGTACTGTACATGATAAAATCTCACATGACCAACTTTGCCATCAGTAATTAAAGTTGAAACTGTTGATTCAGATGTGAACATGAATAAAAGTAGTAAAATCTTTGTCTGGTTCTGGTCCACATCAGCAAACATAATAAAAATCCACACACCAATCTTTGCTGAACACTTCTAAAACCATAAAAAGTAAAGAAAATGTATAACTTTAAAACTTAAGAATAAAAACAAGCATTTCATAGTACAGCCTAATAACCAAATAGCAGTTTGTAATACTTTAATACTAATAATGACTCTCTCTGCTTACTGAGGTAAAATCATGAACCATGAAATCATCAATAATATAAACAATGTATTATGGAAGCCATTACATTTTCTGCCCTAATTTAATTGTGTCTGGGTTGCCAGATCTTTACCAAACAAAGCTGCCCACGACAGTGTGCACAATTTGCCATTGGTCATAATTATGTGATGTCATCAAATCTCATTACAAACCATGAATACAGAAAATAATATGTACAAAATACAGGTATGTATGTACCAGGTAATTAACATTTAATTTTACCTTACATGAACTAAAGTCTGTTGACAATATTCAAGTAAAACTAGAAACAGTGCAAAACCTGGCTTAACAGAGGCAGCCTACAGTATCTACTGAACAATTAAAGACACTGGGTGCTCCTTTGTCATCATCGCATCCAGGGCAGTGCAATGATCAGTGAGACAGAGAGGTTGGGCTGGGCATTTCTCCAAACTGTGTGTCTGCCAACACTGACATGTCTGGTTCAGTCTGAGTAAAAAAGCAGAAACTCAGTTAACATAAAATCAATTATTCTATATTGTCAGATATCGGAATGTTCACCTTAATGAGACTTATTAAACCACCCATTCATGCATCCACAGCTACATGTTCATCCAAATCACACATAAACATAAAAAAACATATAACATATATGTATATATATATGTTATATGTACATATGTATAAACACATTTGCATGGACAACAGCAGTCTGGCAGAGTCCTTCACCTACCTGTGGGTCTTTATCCTTTTCTTGCCTTGGAATTCGATGCCTCCTCCTCTTTGGTCCAGCAGCATGATGCAACACTGCAGACGACGTGGAACCAGACAGGCCATTGAGACGCTCATCCTCCACTCCGGCAGCAGCATCTAAATGGGCTCCAGGCTCATCCTGAAACAACAGGCAAAAAATTTAGCTGTACATTGTGAGCTTGAGCACATTTATTTATTATTGTGCATCAAATAAAGAGGCAGACAGGCTAGTTCACAGTAATTATAAGGTTGGATTAGCAGTCAGGCAAAGTGGGTAACAGACCTTGACCCATGGTCAATTTGTTTCAATCAATGTGATTTATTTTGAATTTGATAGGGAATTTTCAGCACTTACAAGGTGGGTCCTGCCTTATTAGCTAATTTTGTGGTAATCTTAGATCAATTTAGTTCTGAGATCATAATTATTTTAGTCTATATTGTGCACAGTCAATAGCTAATTTGGCCCAGGGACTCCTTCAGAGCTTCATCTGGTAATGGTTAATTGCTATAGTAAAAAACACATTAATATAGTTTTGTAAGGCTTGGATTGTAGTGGTAACTAGTAGTAGTAGTGGTGAGTAGGGGTTAATACCGCACAGGTCTCTCAGGTCATCAGGTGATGTCAGGTCAATCTATTTGGTAAATCTATTGTCACTGTGTTAACTGAATATTCACGTATTGAAATAAAACTAATAGTTAGTTCATATCAATCATTTTCATGCCAATGCATGTGGATGTAAATGTTGTGGAGGTGTTGGCATATGGAAATGTACACGTGGAGTGATGTCAGAGACGACCAGCAACATCTCATTTTTAACAACTCAAGAGTCCATTTTCTTCCTTTTTTTAAATATACCACAAATCTCCACCTATCTTTCTATTTCTCACCTCAAGCATTATAGTGAGCTGGGCATTTCTGTAATCATCCCCATGAGCATCTAAAGTCTTCATGAGAAACCTGTAAGGATTAACGGGACACTCAGATGAGCCATTATGTGGGAATCTTCTCAGAAATGTTGTTCAGAAATGTAGTTATTGTAATCAAGTTTTATACCTTCTTTCTTTCTTCAAGCGTCGTGTAATTCTTTGTACTTGGTGAAGGCGGCCTAGCATCTTCTGATTGACCTGACAATTACACATAACACATGAGGTGATTACAAATGCACTGATATATATCATAACATCAACAAGATAATCAGAAACATGGTCTTTATTAAAAATAATTATATGGTGACAGTATGAGCTCATGTGGATTTAAACATTTTTAAAAATATGTAAGTCCATACCTAGAAATTATGTGAGAAGTCAGGCACTAAATGTTTTTAAACCCAATATAATCCATATTGAAACACAGTGAAGAAGTGTGTGCAAAATAACCCACATACTGCATATGCACATATATGCAGGCTCACACTCACGCACACCTGTTCAATTTCCTTACACCTCCTACTTAGAGCCAGATATTTCCTCTTATCTAGAGCTCTTCTCTCTTCGTCCTCTTGCACTGTGCTCTCAAGCAGCTCACTGCCTCCTGGGCCCAGCTCCACCTGCAGAAAAACAATTTTGTGTGGTTTGTGTGTTGTGGTCAGCTCTCTGTGTCAGTGCTTTCACTATTGTGTTTCAAATGGAACAGCTGAAACAAAATGGAAATTTCAGTTGTTGAATCAATCATAAGCAGATACTTTCTCCACCCATTAAGCTACATAGATGTGACCACACCTTTACACTCTGAATTCAATCTTATATCTTCTTTAACGCTAATAGAATTACAAATGTCTGTCACAAATACAAGATAAGATTCTGACTTTGCATGCATAGATCATGTCTAAGGCATATTTAACTGAGAAGCTCGATCCAGGGTGTGATTGTAGCTTCTTTCTTCAAACACAATGCTTCTCAGACTGATTTAAATACATTATTTTAGTGTTGAAGCTAAGATGTGGTGTTAAAACTGGTAATATTAGTGACTTGGTACAGTAAATAGACAACATATTTTCTTGTTACTTTAATGGCACAGCAAGCACTGACTAGGTGTTGCTGCTTACCTGCATCAACATTACTATTACCACCATTACCATGTTCATTAACATTACCTCTCCAGGTCCCAGCTCCACACCGCCTGGCTCCAGCTCTGCCTCCAGGATATGTCCTCCAAACAGAGGAGGCAGAGCCAAACCAGAGAAATCCTCCATCATCTGGACAGGAAGAGCAAAAAGATCATCTGTTTTTGTTGCTGTAGACATTTCTACACAACAGTTTAGGTACAAGCAGCATGTGTAGGTAGAAGTTCACTATACCTCTGGTGCAGCAATGACATGTTACTGAAAAATGTGACCAGTTCATTATATTTATGACGGACAAACACTACCCATAACAGTGGCTTTAGCCAAATAAGTGTAAAGAACATATTTCTGTGCTTTTACAAAAAACACAGGAGATTTGAAAATTGAAGTAATCGTTTTCGATTATGCAACTTGTGATTGACATCAACATAAATGACGTTTTGAGTAAATTCGACTAATACTGAAAATAATCGTTAGATAAGGTTCTGGTATCATCAGTGGCTAACTATCATACTAAACAACAAGCTATCAATGTATCCATACTTACATTTCTGAATCTATCAACAGTGCAGCCTGAGTCCCGGTTTTAAAACTCCACTGCAAACTGTCTGAGTATGAGTTTGTGGTCTACACAGCCAGGTTAGCTATGAGCGTGTATTAACATAACATATGCTGGCTCAACTCAAACGTAAAGCAACGCAAGGGTAGCTCTTCTTTCACACTCTCCTCGATAAACTGATGTTTATGTGCGACGTGCGTCGCAGAAAAAATACGTCGGTTAGTAGGTACTACATTTCCCATGAGCATCCGGTCGGTCCAACTACACCAGACAACATGGCGGGTATGTGAATATTTTGTCATCTTTTGTACACCTAAACGGTGAAAGTAGTTTTAATGCGTCCTCCACATAACATAAATAAATACTTAGAATAATCGAACTTACGTCAAGTTTGTGTCAGAGTTACTTTAACACAATGATATCCATTCGAAATAAAAAGAAAAATGTGACCTTGGCTGTGTTGCTAACGGTGGCTAACGTTAGCTAACCGTAGGCTGATAGTCTGCTGTGGAGGAATCTAACCTGCCTGGGTTTGTGGGGTTTTTTTCTACAGGAATCGGAGCTTTCCTGAAGAATGCATGGAATAAAGAGCCTGTCATCCTGGCCTCCTGTGCGATTGGAGTGATCGGTTAGTAACTTCCCGTTTACATTTAATCCGGCTCGGAAATGTGTGAGAGACAGAGCACAACATTGTACAACTTGCTTCAGAAATACTGTACTTAATTATGACTATAGCAACAAATCAACATTTAACATGAAAAGAGAGAATAGCCGATATCCCAAATATTGGACCCCTAAGATTCCACTGGCATATGTTTACTTCACATCAGTTGTCTTGCGATTATTCTCATTTAATTAGCTTAACTTTACCTTAACCAGTAACTTGTTGTTAACTGACCACTGAAGATACAATGTCCTCCAAGTGTAGTTAATGTTTTGAGTGTTAAGTTAAAATAATGTTGTATTTTCTCAGGTGTTGCTATTCCATTCATCAGCCCCATCACAAAGTATACAGGAATGATCAATTCAGCTGTGCCATACAACTACCCAGGTAAACACCGTTGTCATGTTACAACGGGTTGTCTTAAGTGTCACATTTCTGATGTAAGTGCAACAACACTGAATACTCCAGCTATCCAAACTAATAGCTGTCCATGCTCAGGCAATTATTAACACTTCTCCTTTTTTCCTAATGCAGTTCCTGTGCGAGATGATGGAAACATGCCTGATGTCCCTGCACATCCATCTGAACCCAAAGGAAATAACCTGGAATGGCTTAAAAATCTGTAACTTCACATTCTCACAATCGACACCTGTGCTATTCCTCTTGTTCATATCTGTCTACATAGCTGTTCCACTTATCAATGTCCCACAATAAAGACTGTCTATTTAATTCTACTTATGTACCATATTGTTTTGTTTGGATACATTCAATACATTTGGATGGAATGCATGTTTTATAACTTTATAAAACCACATGAAGAGGTCAGACAGTTTTCTTCATCTAATTGCCTTAGTTGAACTAGGCTTAAGTTTAGCGCCTCCAGTCTTTAAGTATTTTGTTAATTTGGATTGGGCTGTTGGAATTTGAACATGAAGCTAAAATATAATTTTTTTTATTTGTCTCTTAGAGTAAACCCTAAAATAACCTGAACTTCATTTTTAAAGAAGTTGGGATGAAATATTTTTTGACTTTCCACTCAAAGATAGCTGCTGGGTTTGTAGACCAAAAGACCAAAGAGCCGATCATGAGAGTTTTGAAACCAAGCTTCGACACAACCCTGATCCTTCAGATGAGGCTTAGCATGACAAAGCTGGAATCCGATTAAGTTTGAAAATGCATTCCTTGTTTTATCCAGCATGGCTCTACTTGCATAACTAAGAAATGTGGCAGAACAATATGTGGTGCAGTGCCTCATTAAACCCCTTAAAAATTAAGACCTACCATTTAATATGGGACTGACAATTATTCACTGTTATAATGTCCGTGTCACTTTGTAGGCATTTTAATGCTCTGTTCATGTGTGTACTGAGTGTTTTAGACCCGACAAACACACACCATGGATATTATATGACTTGCTGCATTAATGCTGTAAATGCACATTTAAAAACATATACAAAAATCTCAGTTTTAAAATATACAGATGTACACAGCAACAGCGACGAAAGGTCTCTTTTATAGAACTTTTATTTCACAACATGTCAATATTCAGTATTTCAGGTAAAGAATGTCTTCCTCAGCAGTATTCATCATCATCATCATAATAAAATATCTTCTGCAGTCACCCGGATTTCATTTTGATGCAGTTCAGAGAACAGCCTGACAGTCTGCTTAAATTGCTGCATGTTGTTTTAAAGAAACAAGGAGCTGTGTAAAGTTGGTGTGCAATGTTTAAACAATATTTCACTTTGGAAGAAGAGTTTTAAACTTTGGATAAATTCCTATTCCCATAAAAAACAAACATGTTTTTTCCACATTAGCATTCTGCTGTAGGTTATGCACGATGATGGATGACAATGCACAGACTGCATATAAACTTTTCTGTACACACATACAAAGTCCTGTAGACTTGCTGTAAATGTGTGTATTCATTTTGCCATACATTTCTTGTTAGATATTTATAACATTTATATTTTTAATAAACTTCCCATATTTTCCTTATAACATATCTCACACTTCAAATATATTTCTATGTTGCACATATTGTATACTATGTTATTTTTCTACATTACTCATTTCAACAACTATTTTTTTTTTTACACTTTTTAAAGTACTCTCAGGCAAAATTATTTGTTTTCTCATATACCTCACTGTTTCACCAAACTCAGTGCACGTTACATTGTAAGTTTTATTCAAAGATTTAAGTCTAGATTAATCTATATTCGCAGCACATTCAAACCCAAGTAGGTGAATATGTCATTCTATATTTTCACTGTGTCATTATGAAAGAGGTCTTATTTCCTGTTTGTTCAGAGTAGGAGAGAGAGCTAATTCACAATTTCCAGGATTGGAGTTATATCGCTTCTACAGCTTCTACAAAGTCAAAATGTTCTGCCAAAGTGAAATATTATAACAAGTCAAATAAAAGTCATACAATCGCACTGTTTTACGCACTATTTACAAGCATGGATAAGCATTTGCTCTATCATTTTTCTGTCACCTTTACTAATGATGACATACTACTCAAAGCAATATATCTGATGTTAGAGATGATTTCCTACAACACTTGTGGGTGATCTCTTGAATCTTAAAGATGTTAAAATGTCACAGCAACTCCAGGCAGTTACAACTGGAAAACAAGCATTTCAGTTTCCATAGATGCAAAATTTCACCACTTTGCTGGAGGCCACTACAGAGCTACAGAATATTACTTTGGATATTTCTAGTTTACCATGAACACTTGCTCAGACATTGGTCAACTTCCTGTATGCTTTCTTCATCACTTTCAAAGATACATATCCCCCATAAAACTCCTACCGTCTCGTCTGTCTCGGCTTTCACATCTCTCTTAAAGATTCTGCTCAGTCTGGCTGGTGAACATAAAACTAATATTGACTAGCCTAGATGTTGAATAGCTTTACATTTGGGACTGAAAAGGAATCAAGAAGATATCAAATCCAAAGACTAAGCAAATCTGTCACTCTTAAGCCTTTGAACCATCCGCATGCTACTTTCTAAAAAACACACCTCTTTCAATAATAACACCGTCCAATCGTTCAACTATTAACTGTCACAGTTTGTGTCTGTGAAGCTAATGAGCTTTTCTGTCTCTTTGTTTTGTAGGAGTTGCTCTGTGTTAAATAAGAACTTTTTTTTCACTCACTGGGAAATGAACAAGCCTCATTTGAATGATCGTATTTAAGGTAGAGTGTGTTTTTACATTATATTTTGAGGTCAGGCAAAGAGTTAAACTAATCCAAAAATCTACATTCATAAAGTAGCAATGTGTAACTTCACAGCAGCAGAATGTGTTGTGTTAAATGTCATAAACATAAGATATAACTGACAAGGACTTGTACACACAGCATTGCTATTGTTCAGTAAATTTAAAGTAAAAATGGCACAAAAATAACTCAGTGTGCCAATTTCATTAAAATATGCCAAGTCTCTCTCAGCCAGACAAGCAAGTTTTAAAATACAAAAAGACATGTATAAATTTAAAAGTTCACCTTCATTGAAACCAAGAGAATGCAACTATCTGGCAGCTTCTCTAAAAAATATAATATTGTAATAGCACTTTTAGAGTAGGAGCCTGTCCTCTTCCCATAACACTTCATTACAGTCCAGGTGAAAGTTAACAACCCGCTATTAGGAGCCAGTCCCTAAATCAGCTGAACAAAGAATGGTTTTCTGAATATGGCACAAAACAACAAAAAACTACATTAAAGGTTATGTCAAGAAAAAAATTGCACTGTAAAACAGTAAGAGAAACAAGAGGCCTCCTTCACAGGCTGAGACCAACCTAAAAATGTTAGTTATTCTGAACGAGCAAGATACAGATACAAGATAAGTACAGCCAAACATACTTCTGTTTCATAAAAACTAGCCTAGATTTTATTTTACTGCCCATATTTCACTCAAACAGAATTTTCAGATATCACAGTGGTCCTGCTTCTACGTTCTCCCGTTAACTACCTTAAACAGTGAATGGACAGTGATCATATTTAACATGCTTTACACATGAACCCTTTTATACTTTGATTTTAAAATGTTCTAATCCTGCACATGAAACACAATCTGTATTTGATTAAACTGCAAAAAAAATATAAGTAAAGTACTATTCAAAAGAGTCAACATGAGCCAATGTGCCGCTTCCAGGACTCAACCTGAGGCTTGACAGAGGACTGACAGAGAACAGGAAACCGGATCGCTGCTGTGGGAATCAACCACTTACTCAATAATGGGAGCTGAGCGATCGTTGGTCACAGTTTTTCTGAGTCGTACATGGGCAAATGGATTGGGCCTGAAAAAAAGAAACAATAAAAACAAAAGGAATCATATAATGAAAAGGCATTATGACTAAAAGAGGTGTCAGGGGCAGCCCGGTGGCTTGTTACTACTAAGATACAGTGATCATGTGATCGTAATATCCTTGGTTTGACTCTAGCCAGGGGTCTTTGTTGTGCTTCATCCCCTCTCCCACCTAATTTCCTGTCACATCTCCACTGTCAACTATCTAATAAAGGTAAAAAGTACCCAGAATTACATGTGAAGGAATTGTTTTTCCACACCAAGCTGTGTACGTGTAGTTGTTAATAATTTACCTGGTTGGGGAGGGTGGTGGAGAGGTCAGTTCTGAGGTGATCTGAAAGAAGAAAACATTGATAACTCTTATATTCCTATTATTATTAAACATGCTTACACTGTCTTATCTCTGTCATTAGCATGAACAGTGAGGATCAGGCACATTCACTCTAACCCTTGACCTCCTCCCAAAGGTTTCATGTTTCTGACCTTGTTGCTGTCGGCCATGCTGTACGGGCGCGGGCGGAAGGTGCTGACCCTCTGGGGAGGAAGGGAGCGCTCCTCCTCTGACTCAGGGGTGAGGGCTGGGAGACCTGTAGACACCAGCTTGTCGAGCTGGCCGGTACTGGTGCTGTTAGCTTTAGATAAGAAGAGAGAGCTACAGGGAAGGGCACAGACGGAGAGGAAAGAATACACAAGAAAGAAAAAAAAAAAAAAAAAAAAAAGGGAAACACGACGAGAGTTGAGAGATGTTGGTTTTGTGTGAATTCATCAACAATGCTGTTGGTGTTGGAAAGAGGAGTGGAAAGATTGAGGCGCGAACAGTATAAGTATCATTCTGCAGTTCATGAGCTTCTGTGACTTTCTGTGCATCTGGCATGAAAGATGTTTGATTTATTGGGAATATAGATGGAAAAGGGAAGGGTGTCATTAGTTTCAACACGAAAACAATCCCCTGCTTTTCAACATACTGCTGATATATTGACAGACTGTCTGATTGTAAACGACTGACAGGAAGTGGAGGAAGCATTTCTCGCATTAAAAGAAAAAATTTCTCTTCATTGACGTACCTCTCGAGGTGATCCATCTTGCTGTGTTGTGGCTGAGTGTAGGAGAAAGGGAACCAGCCTTTCCTGTGAGGGAAAATTTTATTGTAACATTATGAAGGGGAGCTTGAAGCACTGAGGCAACTTAGAGAGTGTGTTTGAAATCAGTCTCCATTGTCTTATATGAAAATATAGAAGCTCACACACAACATATGATAAGTGAGGCCTTGTGAGATAAAGAATAAATATTCCAGCCAGAGACTATTTGTATCGGCTTTGATTTATGTCAGTGAGACCTTTCAGTCTTCACGTTTTGTACTTTATAACGATGGTAAAGGTCAAAGGCCCCTTCAGCTTCTAACATACCGTCCAGTCCGTTCATTTTGACCATAGTGCCACCCATCTCTGGGCTCAGAGATGAGCAGGGCGATGTTGTCGCCAGGCTGGAAGTGCAGTAAGCAAGCCCCACCCCCTACTCCTCCGCCCTCCGATGCTCCTGGAGCGTGAGGAAACATGGCTTCCACACGTGTAGGTCCAGATAAGGGCAGCATCCTGGGAAGACTGGAGCCTTGACCAGAGAAGACAAAGAAGAAAATGAGGAGAGAGGGTTGGAGATAAAGACACGCACACAAACAAGACAGGCCACCTGTGTCACGTCTTACCCTGAAAGCCACCCAGCCTCATTTCACTGACAGGTCTCCTCGGCAGGGGGAGTGTTGCTGTAGCGCACATGTCTGCAGTCTTCAACAGCCAGGGATTATGTGATGGTGATGAAGTGTTGCTCCCTCCTGGTCCCACCTGCTGGTGCAGTAGCTGCACAGGAGTCATGGCCCTGGAGAGAGGCGCGCTGTGAGGCAGCGGAGGACTGTGAGGAGCACTGTGCGGAGCACTGTGAGCGATGGGGAGGGTCATGCCATGCAAGGAGCTGCTGGTAGGGGAGATCTGGCTGAGCGACATCACAGTGGAGGGGATGAGGCTCGGGGAGAGGTTGGACGTGTTGGTGGCCAGGAGGAGAGAGCTCTGCTGGGCCGAGCCACTGGACGTGGAGGGAGTGGATGCAGCCGGGCTGATGCTGACGCTGCCGCTGGCGCTGCTGTCAGGGAGGGGGCTGGCTGATGCACTGAGGGGTGTGCTGGTGTGCTGAGGAGAAGCTCCTTGTGAAGAACCTCCAGCAGCTCCTCCAGTGGATGACGCAGTGCGGAAAGTCTGGGGGGAACCCTGAGGAGGACAGGTGTCACTCTGAGAGGTGGAGGGGAGTGAGCGCTGCTGCTGCTGGGAGCGACTGGAGTCTCCGTTCAACAGAGGAGGGACTTCCTGAACAGAGAGCCTCTGGAAAACCAAGAAATATCCAGCAGTGTAGTTAGAAGTTTGTTATAATAGTCTAACGTTGCCACTGCTCCTAATTCTATAAGTAGTTTAGTTTAGTGCCTTGGTGCTTAACTCAGGACTTCCTAGCCAAATCGTGAGACTTATTTTTGTCTTGCAAAACAATGGTGTTGTCGAACCTTTGCCGGGAACTACTAAGAATAGCCTTGTTTTTTGTTTGAACGCCAGATAATTATTTGAGTTTATCCAATGAGGTTTTGAAAGGTTTTCAATATCTTATCCCACCATGTGATCCTTCTGTCGAAACCAACCACAGAAGATCAGAAATTATGAACTTTTAAAAATAGTAAAGTCCAAACACCTGACCTGAACTCACCTGTTCTGGCTGAGCAGAGCCGAGCTTGGTGTGCCGGAGAACCTCGGCTATCCCAGCAGCCCCTGAGCTTTGAGGCGCAGTGTGACGCAGCAGATTCAGAGCGCGCTCTGGGAGTTTTGTCGGTTGAGAACATGACTGCTGCCAAGATGACAGTTTCTGAGACAGAAGCTCTCTCACCTGGGTTATTTTCAAAGACATAAAATAGAAGAAGCCAACACTGTTAAAAGCTGAGACTGACATTATTTCATATTTTCTTATTGTATTTTTTTTACTGTCAACAAATCCCATCATACAGTGATTTTACAGCAGCAGGACAGTGTATGTGGGACTGACATGTCACCTAGTGTAGTGTTTGGACAACAATGAAGATCTATGTCACAGGGGGATAAAACGAATGAGCTCGGTTCAGGGTATGATTACACATCTTTGGTAATAGAATACATTAGCTGTTGTTTTAGGTCTTTTCACAGTATTTGTTGACAGTACGAGAAATATCAAATATCAAATGACTTAATTCAAACTGTAAAACCAACCGCTCAAGACATCCACATTTCAGTATTTCTACATGAGAAAGTCGAACTGACTAAATAAATAAGTCAATGTGAACAGATCACCTTGGAGTGGTAGTTGATGAGCAGTTTGGTGACACAACACTGTCTGTCCACCAGGAAGCAGTATCGTCTCCTCTCCTCAGTGAGCGCTGACCTGTAACCTGTGGCGACCAGCGCGTCCAGCTCGCCTTGGCGACGACTCATCAACTCCACAAACTGAAGGAGGAGTCAGAAATTTGACTGCGAACCTGAACGTCCTCACATGGCATACACGGTCCTCACAACAATCACACACAAACCCTAACATACCTAGAGTACAGTACACACAGTGACCTTTAATTCACATTGTAAGGAGAGAGGAGTGATATCATATCCTGCCTGTTGCACAATCCCAATCATAAAATACTGTCCTGGTGACCTTTTCTTACTCTCCCCTTTGATTTCTCATTTTCACCCACCCAAGTGGCCAAATCCTCTCGCCCTCTTATATCATTCATGTTTCTTCCAGGAGAAAGTTTTTGCACTAAGTTGCTTGTTTTCTGAAAAATCAGCTGAGGCAGATTGTTCTTTAATCTTATTCACATCGACCTATTTCTCCTACAACTCTGCTTTTTAATCTGCTGTAATGTGTTTGAGGGATTTCTCAAATGAAAAGGTCACTGTGTCTGTCTCGTTGTTATATAGGTTTTGTTTTTTTGTTTGTTTCTTTTTAACCAACCATGCGGCGCTCTGGGCTTCAGTTACCTGCATCTCTCTGTCTCCATATTTGTTCGGGTGACGACTGCCCTGACTCTTCCTGCGGAGTTTCTTGAGCTGCGACTGGCAGCGCTCGATAGACTCAGATTTAGATCTCCGCTCACTCTGGTACTTCTTTAAAGTGGCCTGATGGGGAAACAGGTAAAAATGTATAAAGTCAGAGGATTTATCGTGATTTGTGTATCGAATGAATGAAATGATCCACTTTTATTTAAATGAATACATTTTTCCCAATAATAACATACATTTTAAACAATCATTCATATGTATTTCCCACAAGTTTTTTGATAAGTTACATTATATTATACATTGTACACAAATAGTTTGCAAATAAATTAAACTAAACATTTTAAACTACTCAAAAGTAGACTGAGTGTGTTTTAGAAAATGTTTGTAATATGAGTATGAGATATTTCAGTAGGCGTGTTAACATACAGTGAGGTATTTGATGTCCAGCTCCAGTTTCTGCTCCAACTGGGCGAGCAGCTCAGAGTGAAACAGTTTCAGCTGTTGATGAAAAGTAGCATATTCAATAAAGTACGCTGGCACGTCAGCATGTATGTCAAAGGTAATGACAGCCTCCAGTCACTTTATCAAACCAGAATGATCTTTTAAACTTCTTTTAAACCTCTAAAAATCAGAAATGTGGAAGTATCTATTACCATGTACAATGCGTTGCAATCTAAATCACAATTTCAGTATTTAACCAACTAATCAGTGTGTCTTCCTTTATGAATTTCATGAAACGAGCACTCTGATGCACAGTCTTACCACGTCTTCCAGCTGCACCTGAATCTGTCTGTGTACCTCGGCCATCTGAAACAGTGTGTCCCCTGTGAGGAGCAGCGCAGCAGTGAAGGCATCAGTATCACATAATTTGAAATGTTTTTATCTGTTCAAGTGCATCTTTGACCTGTGCAGAAATCGTTGCATATATCTCTCTCAATATCTCAAATCTGTGTGCTTTGTAATGGCTGTTCACAACAGTATCGGCACCAACATACAAGACAGACAACACACGAGTTAAAATGTCATAAAACCTGCTGCTTTGACACAATTTCTCATTTACACAGTGGCGGTCAGCTGTGAGTCCCTCCCTTGGTCACACAGCACTGTAGTATGTGGTGGCTGGCATCTCGCCCTCCGACACTCCTGCCTGCCTCCCCCGCTGTTTTCAGCATTACAATGAGATCATGTGGTGTTGTTAATCTCCCAACAATGACCCTACTCTCTCCCTTTCCCTCTGTTCTCTCTCTCCCTCTCTCTCTGCATTTCCTCATTCCCTCTTGTCTTCATCTCCTCGCTCACCAACACACATGCAAGCAGGCTCACAGACTATTTTCAACTTCTCGCCAGCTGTCACATTGACTCTTTAAACTTTATTAGGTCTACAGCCAATTCATTTTTATTTTCTCCTTAACCCAGTCCTCCTCTCTCTCTCTCTCTCTCTCTCTCTCTCTCTACTGGCCGCCCACTCACCCAGCTCTTTGGAGCCTTGGCTGTCACTCGCCAGTTCTCCAAGTTTCACCAGGGCATCAAAGTACCCCTTGGCAGCCACGGTTACTCCTGAAGAAGAGAACAAATTTTATGGGAAATTGCAAAAAGTCTCTGTGTAATTTGTATAGAATTACAACCGCGGCCTTCCTGTTAAATGAATCAGTATTTTAAAACTTACAACTTTACTGGATTCATTGCTCTGTGTGAAGCAGAAATGCAGCTCTGAGGACAAATATTAGTCCTGTAGCATATGAACTAGTCAGTGTTCAACTCACCTGTCAGAGCTTTCTCATAGTGTTTCCCCATGGTCACAAAGTTCTTCAGACTGGGGTTGAACTGGTCCAAAATCCCCTGTTGATGATGATACACACAGGTAACGTGACAGGCAAATAATGACATGCGAGTCTGTGAAGTGAACTACATTTCTAAGCATTGTACTGCAGATGATTGTGTAGGTGACAAACACATTTTTGAATCATTAAAAAATATTGTCTGTAGGACACATGACAAGCCGTTCAATGGAAAACAGCAAAAAAAAAAAAAGAAAATCATTTCTTTATGAGGTTCACTGCTGGGCGCAGAGAAGACAGACTAAAGTTATACCTTGTAGACATTTTCTGTCATCTTGTTGACCTCTTCGGTTCGAGACATTTTTCTTCTCTCGCGTATATGTGCTGCCACTATGTACGTTTGTATGGTCTCCGCCTGTCGTTGTTCAGGGTCCTAGGCTTTAGAGTAGACACAGATCCTCTAAAGGAGAAGAAGATATATTGAAATTAGAGACTGTTCACTACAATCACTCTGAAAATTTACCCAGGAACTGAGGACAAGGCTGTTTTTATATTCACCTCCACAGAGGAAAAGGGACGTCAACGCACTGACAGTATTTTTATTTATCAGCACTCGAGCTGAAACGACTAATTGATCAACAGGAAATTTATTGACAACTATTGTAGGAACTGATTAATAGTTTTACATTATTATTACAACATTATTTGGTTCTAGATTATTGAATGTCAGGGTTTGCAGGTTTCTTTGTTGTAAATGATACTGAATTGAATATATTTGGGTTTTGTCCATCTTGTCACATAAAACAAGGAATTTGAAAATGCCAATCATCGTTGTTCACTATTTGCTGACAGTTAATAGACAAAACTATTGATAAAATACAGAAGGAAATGTCACAAACACAAACGATTAGTCCATAAAAAAAAGTCCGTAAAAAAAAAAAAAAAAAACCACAGAGAAGTTTCAAATATTAAGAAGAAACAAAAACCTTCAACATCTTCTCAAATATTCATATTGTACTCCTCTATTCAGTGTTATCTTTCTATGAAGGATTGACAGTGTGAGATTTAAATCAGCTGGAGGACTTTTAAAGCCACTGAACCATCACAACATGCGATGAGAATGTCACACCGTCTTGGGTTTTGTCTGAGGGCAGCAGTGTTTTCATTTTCACATGAATCCCCTCTGAGTCTCAGCTGCCAGTTTCTACATTATCACTTCACAACATTAGGACAACCCAAATATTTCTCCTAGATTCGTGTGCCAGACGAGTTATACCATTTCAGATAAGAACAATGGGCTCCCCAAGTCCAAGCCACAGGTGTCAGAGCACTGAACAAACAGACGACAACAATGTTTCCTCCGCAGAGAGGACGATCAAGACGGGGACTGCTCTGTGGGTCAAAGGATTTCCAGTCTGGATTTGATGGCAAAAGACTCACTTGAACAACTCGGTTTTCCCTGTGCAGCCCTCCTTTGTTATCACAGCGAGATTACAGAGAAAACGTTGACCCAGATCAACTAATGGTATATGACACAAAGAAAACATTTCCAGACTCTTGCTCATTAAGGCCACCCTGGTGTAGTCTGTAATTTGTCAGCGTGCCTGTTCGAGTCTGCCGGATAAGACAGAAAAGTGGGAGCTTTGTCCTCAGTCTTTTTGTTTGAAGGCCTTTTTAACTGTGCATGCACTTTAAAATGATGATGAAGTGAAATATTGAAGCTAGATAAAATATTTGTGTGTGTATATTCGAGCTTAGTGCGGTTCAATTCTAAGAAATAAAGTGCTGTTTGTTTCAGGATGCAACAGGAGCAGTCTGCAGGTGGTGGGGGAGCTGATACAGAAGGTGCATTCATGTGGGTTAGCCTCTTTAAATCTCTTAAATGTGAGTGGATGTAAACACTGCATTTAAAACCCATCAACGTCGCTGCGAAAAGGATAAATTCAAACAAATGACAGAAATAGTTAGTAGTGTTTAAAGGCATGTAAGCAGATCTGATACAATTAATCAGTTCATTTATTATTTGATCAACAGGAAAATACTCTGCAATTATTTTGATTTTGAGCAAAAATGCAATAACAAAAAAATAATAGTTAAAGCTTCTCATTTGTGAGGATTTGTGTTTCTCAGAGCATCTTTGTAAAGTGACAGTTGGTCAGACAAAACAAGACATTTGAAGACGTCACCTTGAACTGTGGTTTGCACATTTCAATCAACTGAGACAATTACCATCATCATTACCACACGCCAGACTAATAGATACTTTGTACTGTTTTGGTGGTTTTGCAGGTCTCCTGCACTATTTTGAGGTGAAACGCTGTCAGATATGTTTGCATTTACTTCTAGCATTTCTCTGAGGCTCGGTAAATGTGTAATATTTTATTTTTACATGGACCTTTTCTTCTTCCACACCATCTCATCTCATTTCAACAACTACATCAAAGGCAACATTTGACTGAAGTCTTTCGACTCGCTGAAGCACACGCAAAGTATCTTAATTAGAGAGAGAAACATTATGAAAAGCACGTTTTAAGTAGAAATATGGATAAATGAGTCAGGTCAGTTGCACAGTGGAGGTTTTTTCCTGAATGAAAAATGCCCCCTGCCATTTGCCCGCACTGTGCAGCCCAGTAACAGCTACCTGTTGATCTCAAACACTCAGCACAGCTTCCATTTGTACAACAGTAACAAATAATTCAGCTACTTTAAAAAGAAAAAGAAGTTACATACCTTTTCTGAGCTCATTGTTGGAAACGATAAAAGCTTCCTGCGCGTCTTTGAGTGTTTAATGAACAGTACAACACCCCCCTCCTTTCTTCCTATTAGGCTACTTTCCCTCTCCGTTAGTTAGTGGGGGGTTGTTTCATCCAGCAGAGCACTAAATCTCCACTCCCCTCCACCCCTTTTTCACATGGCCCTCTCTCTCTTTCTCTCTCTCTCTCTCTCTCTCTCCTCTCTCTCACACTCTCTCCCTCTCCTCTCTCTACCTCTCCTTACTCCCAGAAATCGGGGTCAGATATTTGGTGCCGTTCAGTGCCTCTCCTCATTACTGAGCCGATTATCGACATGCCTTCACGACCGCTAGAACCGGCCAGAAAAACCACCGACAATACCCCCCTCCCTTCCCCTCCCCTCCCGGACCAATACAACCAGCTCCCTGCCGTTGGAAACCACAGTCAGCCTCCCATTCTCTGTCTGCCTCTCTCTGTCTCCCTCTCTCACTCGGGCAGAATAACAATGAGCTAACGGGACCTCGTCTGAATAGCAGCAGGAGGAGAATAATGACTTGAACTTTTGAAGCCAAAGACAGAGCAGCACAGGCAGGCCTATCACTGGCCTACATACACCCGGCCCATCACACATTCCTGCTTCCCCATTCTCAGAGGGAGGACAGAGGAGGACAGAGGAGGAGGAGGAGGAGGCCCTGCATGGACACAGGCCTTTCATTTACTGCAATGAACTGATGAAAAGATTAAAGGTCCATGTAAACATTAAGGTTCTTGAGAGGAGAGTGGTACCCAAAGAGTTTAGGGTCAGGTGTGGCCTAATATTTTAACACAGTGGTGAAAAGTAAGTACCTTTATTCAAGTACTTTAGCAGGCGTTTAGAAATACTGAAGCCCTCTAATGCACCTCCCTCCTCTCACAAAAGTTTTGACCAAAAGGTCACATCACCTTTAAAAGGATGCTGTTTGATACTTCTACTCTACTACATTTCGAAGGGACATTGTGTTGAATGTTTTGCTTCTCTATTTATTTGACAGTTACAGTTATTACAGATTAACATGATGACAAAGACGATTTAGGGACATACAATAGACAAATATTGAAAGTAGAATGGTTTAAAAATTCCAAGTTGCGAAGTCCAATAACCTCATTGACAATCACAAACTGAGTGAACTGATCTTGACATGTAACATTGGAGGGGTTATAACCAGGATTTTAAGAATACCGATGTCACAATTGTTTTTAATGCCCCATCACTCTCAGAAACTTTTAAACTAGAGACACAAAAAAAAGGTTTCTAATCTTTTTTAATTAAGTCGATTTTTCCAGATTATTTATGCCAAGTGCTCAGTTATATTTTCTGTAAAATTTATTTTCAAAAACAAAAGGTCTAAATTATGTTTTCAAGCCATCATTACACTGGCAGTATCACAGACGACTTTTGACACTGGCACTTATTCTACTAAGAATAAGTAATATAATATAAGTATGACATAATAAATTATGTCATACTTCTGTTAATGTAAACACCCATTTGTGTTGCTAAAACCGAACAAATCACAATAAAAAAATAAAATAAGATAAAATGAAATCACAGAAATGCATTAATGTCAACCATTTGAAATATGATCAGCATGTAAAATCTGGTGGAAAACTTTCACAGAATAGAGATATTCAAATAAAGTCCCAGGGCTTTATTGTACATTATGTGCACAGGACCTGTAAAGCAAGAAATGTGGAAGCCAGTTTGATAAACATTCCTCACAGCTGAACTCTGACTTCCTCTTAAGCCCCGTTAAACATGGATACTTATTTTCTGGAGTCATAAAAATAACCTTGAAAGTTGAGGTCACATCACCTGCAGGAGGAGGTTCAGCTGAATGACTGACGCTGTCTTCTGTTGCAGTTGCAGGGTTTTCCCACAGGATGGCACCAGCATGACACGACTTCCTGTAGCACATGACTTCCTCTGCAGGAGCCTGACCGTCCAGTGCGGCGCAACAAGTGCAGGCTAGAGAGTTCCACTGTGCTTGAATAGAAAATCTGCATCTTTAAGACCACAACAGGCAGGTAGGCAATCCAAAAATATAAACACACGCGCAGATAAATGTATATAATTTATACAGAAGTTCAATCAAGTTTTGAATAAAGACAGTAAATATGATATTCAGCACAGAAGTTTCTACTCAGGTGATACTTCTTCACTGTCACTGCCTTCCCTGTCCAGATACACTGTCCTTACCTCATCAGCTCATCCTCTCCACACAATCAAAAACACTACTGGCACTAACAGAGCACTTCATATTATGGGACACAGTCTCATCCGGGACCATCTCTCTCCGTTCATAAGACTCTTCCCATCATCAGAGTAGTCTCCAGTTTGCCGGCCGTGGCAGACGAGCGTGCTCTGTGGGGTTCTGGGTCACTTGGTTCAGTGCTGAGGGGAACATTGGAACGTCTGTGGTCTCGTGTCCTTGGACCTGAGCCGTAAAGCTGTTTGTGTCGGCTGGCTTCCTCGGGGCCTAATTCACACGAGCTAAGGAGATTGACAGACAGGGGAACTCGGCTCACACTGACCTATTAAACAATAAAAATGAGTCATGCACATCTCTCCCATCTCTCCATCTATCTAGCTTCATGTTGTCATACACTGTTTTCACTGAACACAGTGACACAGCAGACTTTCTGAAACAGGTCATGTTTTCGGTTTTGCCTGAATGTAGACCACCCGGCTGATCTTCAGCCCGCGCTCTTCCTCGGGCCTGGTCCAAATGGGACACGTACAAATAGTGTGGGAGACATACATCTGCATATCAACATATACTGAAACTTTCAGGATGTAAAATCTGTCCAAGTTTTAACAACAACAAAAACTAACAAACAAAACAATTTGTTCTGAAATACAAATAAACACTTCTTTTGCTACTTTTTCTTTTGGAAGTTTATTGAACAGATGAGTCTATATAAAAAGCATTATCCCTTTTTATTTCCCTCATTAAACCTGAACATAAATGAGAAATGAGGTTGGGGGAAATGTAGGTAAAGATTAATTAAAAAAAGATTTTCGAGATAATTGAGATGAGGACTTATGAAAAAATTCTTGGTAACATGTTGTACACTCAGGGTATACAATTATATTCAAACGACTGTTGTGACACTGTTTTATCTGGCAACAATTTAAATCCCTGTGATTTAAAGATGTGATACTGATCAGTGGAAAATAAATTAAGAAGTGCTTCTTGATTTGACAGTGAGGAAACACAAAGCAGTGACTCCTGATACTGTCCAGAAGGGAGGGAACTGACTGCTCCCCTCTAGGAAAAGATTCAAGGCACATTGCTTCATTAATACAGAAGTTTTAAAAAAATTATCATCAGTATCATAGCTGATTAAAAACAAGACCAACATGTATCGACTGCTCATCAAACTTCCTCAGAATCAAGGTGATGTTGTTGAGAGTGTTTTCTAGTTTCTTCTACAAGCTGTAAAAGGGTAATAACCACAGTGTGACAAAAACACGCCATGGGTAAATGTTACGAGTAGATAACATGTACCTTGAAAATGTGAAGACGTGCACGCAGGAAAAGTAAAATAGTAAATATTACTTTAACGATTTATTATTCGAGAGTGCATTTTATCATGAACTATACTGAGTGAGAGCAGAGGGCCACAATGTGTGTAGATGGGCTGGTTGTTTCTGCGTTATTCATCTGATGAGATGTGATTATATTATGCTACTGTAACCATACAGTGTGTATGTGTGTGTGTGTGTGTGTGTGTGTGTGTGTGTGTGTGTGTGTGTGTGCGCGCGCGCACCACTTATCCCTGCAAGACGAACACTGAATATTTCAACAAATTAAACAAGGTGAGTTTTATGTGAAATTTCATGTTGCTGCAAAACAATACAAAAAAGTTTTGTAATATTTGGATAAATATTACAAATAATATAAATATTAAGTAGAAATCTGTGAAGTTTTAGAGGCTTTTTTATGTAAAACTTTAACACCTAAATCATGTTCAGACACTGCTGAGTTACTCAGCTCTGTTAATGAAGATGTAATTACACATAATGACGCAGACACAGTCACAGAATCATGGCACGAACTTTGACTCCTCGCCTTGTCCACCTGAGGTCACCTCTGTAATCCTCCACACACAACAGGTGTCACGGCCGATAATGGCTTATCACAGATAATATTGATATCAGTGCATATATTCTCCGATATGCTCTGATATGAATACTTTTATTAAGAAGCAATAATGCAGTGGAAATGCTCAGGTCAAGTTATATAGGCAGCATTTTATGTATATTTGACCCTTTGTTTTCATTCAAGTTAAAGTTGTTCTTATGTTTTTTATTTATAGTTAATTTATTTTTATTGTTACTTTATTTAATTCCCAGTGAAATTTGTTGTGTCTGCACTGATGTCATTTTGGAAAATAAAGTTTATTGTTAAACTGTAAAATATCCTGCTTTCATCACATATCTTTTTCACAAGTCAACTAGGTTTGAACTACGGCTGTCATGAAACTCTGGGAGCAGTTTTGAATTAACGAAGAAAAAGAAGGTCAATATTTACTCATTTTAAGATAAACAGATAAATTCTGCAAAGTGTGTTTATCATCACCGTCAGCAATCAGCCTTTCAGTGTTGTTAAGTCAGGTTCTAACCAGATACCCAGAGGCTTGACAGGAAACAGCGACTGTGGCCGACATATGCCAGTGTGTCTGAACCTGTTACCTAATGTTAATGTAAGTATAAGTGTCTGTCGTGTAGTCATCATGCAGACGCCATTGTTTGTGTGTCGTGTGATTTATTTTGACCTTAAAGCGGCCATCTGCTGTCCTGACACCGCCTCTCTGGCCATCAGTCAGACGAGGAATTAATCAGGCCAATTACTCCTGTGCTAAAATCTAGGTGAGCCATGTGACATTGTGCTGGAGGAGCTGAGGCCAATGTTTGTGCCCTGTTTGATGGGATAAAAGAAAACCAGGGGACAAATTAAAATAAAAAAAGTATTTGTTTGTGTTGTCAGGCCAAGGGGATTTATGAAGGTCTCATCTGTAAGATCATAGTAACCTTTCCGGGATAAAAAATAAAGATGATGGAGATGTGATAAGATGCCAAAACGTCAATGTAAAGACAGCGTGACAGGAAGAGAGGTGTGGTCTTTCAAGGAAAAAAAAAAAAAACAACAAAGAGGAAGGAGGGGAGGAGAGGAGGAGAGAAAAGAGGTAGAGACAATCAGGGAGGGAAAGAAGGAGTTGAGCACTCCTCTGGAGTAAATCCCTCTCAATCTGATCAGGGTGTGAGGTGGACCAACGCACTACGAGTTCACAGCGTGGACACACAAGCTGCACTCACAGGGACTCTGAGGTAAAGATGCTTTTTCACTATCAATTTAACTGAAACAGTGTGTTAAACTGTTGTCTTATATTAGTGCAGTCATTTCAATGAGGAGCCACAGTGTCCGTCTGTGTGCACACACCAGCATTTAGAGGCAAAGAAACAAACTTTTTACAGTCGAGAAAAGAAAACTCATATTTATATAGAATATTTATACTTATATACTATAGATTTTAACATGTTAAAAATAATAAATTATAATAAGTTGATCATCTTTGTATTTAAAACAGTTCAATAGGCATCAATTTGCAAAGGAAAACATTTTTATGTGTAATGCTGATGTCAGTGTCTGAAGCGTTTATTTATTTACATTTGGCAGTAACTGAAGACAGTAGAGATCTCTGTCACATCTGACTCAGCTGCATCCCACAGGTTTTTCTGTTTCCAGTCTGTTTTCATGTTGTTGTTTGGATCGTTCTTTTCAACAGTTTTATCACAGAATACAGTTTTATTATATGGGTATTTCTTTCCTATGTTTTGGTATTAAGGATGTTTTGGTATTAATGAATGGCTAAACTGAACCTTGAACCAACTGATCTACAAATGCATTAAAATGATTTATTGTCTGTTTGACTCCAGTACTGGTAGAAACTAGATGTAGATTTATACTTTCAATAAAATTTCCCCAAAAGCTGTTTAATAAATCTTAAAACAATAACCAAACACAACTGCAAAGAATTCCGTTATAATACATTTTATATAATAGATTTTGCTAAAGAAAGAGGCCGTAGCGTTTGTTAGATCCCAAACAAAAAATATGTATTAAAGCAGACTGTCCTGATATGTTTCTCAGTGCAGGTGGTCTTGACAGTGTTCGAGAGTGAGGGTGGATGGAGTAAGAGTCTCGCTGTGTTTCTCAACAGAAGTCTAATCTAATATCACAGATTACAAATAGATAAATAGCATTTAAAACTTTTTCTGTTAATTCACGCTGCATTTTGCATTATTTATTGTAGGTGTACAGTACATTGGTATATTATTAAATATATCATACTGTGGGAAATATAATATAGTATATAATACAGCAGTGTTGAAAAGATAATCTATATGGACTGATAGTTAACAGGTCTGTTATTTTGGCATCATAACTTTTAGTAAAAAGGCTTTTTAATGGTCGGCTGCGTAACACTAGAAAGACAGACAAGATAGCAACGTGAATGCAAAATTCAACTGCAACTTTGATCGACACTTTCCTTAAACTATTCTGTGTTTTGTCAAAAATCTCAACAAACTCTGTTTGAACTAACTGCCAGAGATAATGATGTTGACAGTGGGATGATTATAGTTTTAACACTGTCTCTTCTCTGTCTAGAAAGATTCTGTTTGTTTACAAATAGAAAGTGCTTTATTTTGTCAGAGTCAACAGTTTTTTAATCACAGGTCTAACTGCAGTTGTCAGTTTTTAATTTGGGACTAATCACACTACTTAAATATCCACCTTGACCATATGGTGCAGGGATGGTGCACGACCCCGGTGTTCACCCTGGATTACCACACACACACACACACACACACACACACACACACACACACACACACACACACACACACACACACACACACACACACACACACACACACACACACACACACACACAAAACAGCACACTTATCTCTCTAGCTAAGGTAGCACGACAACTGTTTGCAATTAGGTTAATTGAGAGACCTGTGGGTGGTAATAAACTTAGGGCTAAACGGTGGAGATTGGGTGTGACATGGTTCTGTGCCTCGACCATCTGTCTCTCCTCTCTAAGCCCCGTAAACATTAGTTTATGGAATAAACACACACACACACACACACACACACACACAGCAGGCCACTTATCTCTCTAGCTAAGGTAGCACGACAACTGTTTGCAATTAGGTTAATTGAGAGACCTGTGGGTGGTAATAAACTTAGGGCTAAACGGTGGAGATTGGGTGTGACATGGTTCTGTGCCTCGACCATCTGTCTCTCCTCTCTAAGCCCCGTAAATCACAACAAGAACTGCAGAGACAGGACACGTTTAGTACCAAGGTTGTTTCCCCTTCAGACAGTTTAAGTTTAACAAAGATGTTTCTCAATTAAAAATAGGGAATCATTCTTCTCCCGTTTCTGCAGCTCATTAAATAATTCTTGCATTGGCATTTGGAAATTTCAGTGAAGGTAGAGATGACCTTTGTCACTCAACAGAGTGTATGTTTCGTATGTATTTTCACTCTTGTTTCATTATTGATAAAGTAGCCTACAGTAAATCATGTATGAACTATCAACACTAACACATGCTGAAACACACACACACACACACACACACTCACACACACACACACACACTGGCCACTGCAAGCAACAGGTGGTCAGTGAGGTTTAGCAGCCACATCACGTGTGTGCCATTTCGAAATGCCGCCCCTGTATAATAAAGGACATGTTACACTTACAGAGAGGTCATAAAGGGAAGTTCCTTCATGATATAGATACATGAAAAACAATATGGGACATCGGGGAGTTTTTAAGGATAATTTTGGGAGTCAAATTTTAAACAAGAAAATATATATACATGGAAATAAATCTGTGTTTTACCATCATCATCTCATCAGTGCTGCTTTACTACAGTGACAGTGACAGTTCAGCAATAAAGTTATGGATCCCTCTATGACCCTACACTCAGACTAATTGTGGCCTTTCTTATGGGCTTCTAGGAAGTCAAAACCATGTAAGTAACTCCCACTGAAGAACAACAGAAATCTTGTCGGCTGGTCCGGTCAGGATGTCACACCTCTGATTTGGACTAATCCCTGTCTGGACAGGCCCTGGCTGTTTTGGCAATGCCTGTGCCATGTAAGGTTACTGGTCAGATAGAGTGGGCAGCGGTGACATGCTGGGGCATTTGACCACCACCATATCCTGCTGATATCTGAAGTCCTTGATGTTAGTCAACCTAGTCCAAAACTATATCTAACATGCTGTCCTTTGAGTTTAAGGAAACTGACACTGACTAGAATATAATAGAGATATTTTCAACTCATGTCTGTTCACCTGTAGATACAATTATAAGGGACTGGGACAAAATATTACATAGCCTTCACAATGTATTGCAGTTCATTACAATAAAACCACCACAAAGTGCAGCCTAATTACCAGGAATAAGGCTCATGTGCAGATTCAACAAAAAGCTAAAATGCAGTTGTCAATAGGTGTTTGTATTATTGTGTCTACTCTCTGTGAATGCAACTAAATGACTTTTATCTAAGATCTGATGTCCTGCTTTACAGGTTTATTCCATTCTTCAGTGACGGAGAGAGAAAGACAACAAGACATCCCGAAGAAAACAAATTCTCTCACAGAAAAATAAGATAAAACTACTCGATTCGTTCCTCACAGATGAGTGGATACTTTGTGAATGGAGACCATTGTTATCTTGCCCCCTGATGTCTCCTTCACAACAACAGAGAAGTCAGCACAGTTTTTACTTCAACTGGTGTTTCACATTTTGAAGTGAAGCTACGTTCCTTAGTCTTTCTGGCTGAACTGTGGATGGAGATCATGAGGAACTCTCAGTCTCTACACCGACTCCTTGTTCCCATTGTGCTTTCTCTACTTTCACTCGTCGTCTGTCCTGCATCTGCCAGTTCAGGGTCTGACTATGACTACGGGGCCCACCCACGCTTTGTTTGCACCCCTATTCCCGTGGATGCAGACCCTTCCTGCTTCCCCACAGCGGGTCCAGGCGGAGGGGCAACAGGGCCCGGCGGCCCAGGCCATCAAAGTGCACCTCCTGCTGGCTGGTGGGGGGCGAGCGAGGAGGCCAAAGCCACCATCCTCCACCTCAGGGAGAGCCTTGTCCAGCAGAAAGAGACCATCCTGGACCAGAGGGAGACCATTAGAGAGCTGACGGCTAAGCTCACCCTGTGCGAGGGCCTCAACCGAGGCGTGGCGCCTCACAACGAGCACCACGGCACCTCATACTCCCATCATGCAGGAGTGGCCGGTCATCACACGTACACTGACAATGGGCACCATAGCAACCAGCAGGGTCACCATGGAAACCTCATACCAGACTCACCGCACCACCCCTCTGTAGGGGGGCAACGATCGGATGGAGGTCACAGCAACAACAACCATGGGAAGGATAAACATGTGACACCAGGGGACATCACATCATCACCAGAGCAGACGGAGAGGATGCTGCACGCACTGAAGGAGAGGCTGGAGAACTTGCAGGTGAGCAGCAAGAGGAGGAAACTTTTTCAACTTGAAAATAACAGCTACATAACTACAGATAGGAAGGCAATGAAAAAGTGAGCTACAGTAAATATATATATATATATATATATATATATATATAGCTTAAAAATGAGAAAGAGATTGAAGTAGGACGACTTGTGATGCGCTGTGTGCCCATATATGGCTTTTCCTTGTTTGGCTACATTAATGCTGTCGTCACTGGATTGTTTGTCGAGTAAACAAATCCCAAAGTACTATGTCTGCTAAGTACTTTAGATAGAGGAACAATGAATCACTTAATCGCATAAAGCCACTCACTACATTGGCAAGAGAGACACTTTGATGTCCCTCAGTGGGCACCTCAGAGCAGCAACAGGCTCAGAGGTGGACGTCACTGATGTAAGATACTCTTGTATAAGGCTAAAGTGGATTGATTTACGCTGTGGAAGAAATCTGGAGGTCTCATGGCTCTGTTCTCTCTGGAGTTACCTGTGGTTTTGACTCTGTTTCTCCGTCTTGGATCATGATCCGAGACAGATGTCAGGGGTGGGTGTGTGAGTGTGTGTGTGTGTGTGTGTGTGTGTGTGGTGGCACGGGTCTAAGATCAGCAGTAATTATCGTGATCTCCCTTGACAGACTGGTAATCAGGGCATGCACCAGGATAAAGCCTGGATTACCTGAGAGGAAGAGAGGCAGAGGCAGATACAGGAAGATACAATGACTGTGAGAGGCATTGTAAAGCACCTGACCTGACTGCAGCATTTGACGTTAAAAATGATAAGAGACTGTGAATAGAAGTCAAAGAAGTGCAGGCTTGTAGGTGACAAACCCACACATATGATTCATTGACGTTGGTTTGATTTTATGCCAAAGCAGCTCTGATCCCTTTGTCTTGTCTGTTGTAAATAGGAAGCACAGGGATTGAGTGGCAGGAAATACTCATTGTTATCAAAGACTTCACCTCTGTTCTTCTCTCTGATCTCCCCCAGCAGAAGAGGAACACATCCATCACTTACTCTAGCTCTCTGAAGGAGCTGCTGCAGAGGAAGATCAACGCTCTGGAGCAGCAGCTGCACCATCACACCGCCGCCCACAACAGCCCCGAGCATCACGATGACGACAGCAGTCACAGAGACGACAGGGACCATCATGATGACGATCGCCACGATGACGGACACCCATATGACCGCAAGGACGACCACAACGACGGACATCGTGATGGTCACAATGACAGCGACGACCACACGGATCACCACGATGACAGCCACAACGATGACCATCATGATAGACACGGTGACCATGACGACCACGATGATGATGATGATGATGATGATGAAGACGATGAGGATGATGAGGATGAGGATGATGAGGACCATCACAGTAATGAAGCAGGCAGTCACAGTTACCTTCCACACACAGGATACAGAGCACCAGGGCCCCGAACTGGTTTCCACTCAAACAAACTGGAATCGATGCTCAACCAGCTGCACCTCACAGGTACACAACATTACAACAGTCACAACAGCTGACAATAAGTTCAGTTGGTTTTTCTCCATTTTTATGGGTGATCAGTTTTTGCAGCCAGTATTTCATGTTCATTTCTGTTCTCATCTTATTAAATTTCACTGAAAACAGGATTGAGTTTCATAGTTAGTAGTAGTAATTGACAAAAGAATCTCATGATCGAAAGGTCCAGACTAGGTACTAAATGGACCTTGAGATGAGAACATTTTTTTGTCAACTACTTTTTTCAAGGTAAAGAACAAAATACACAAATTTTAACATCTAAAGTAAAACTTCCGGACAAATGGGAATATGATTCGATCAAAAGCTCCAGACTACAACAGCTACTAAATGGACCTTGTGTTGCAACTGCTCTGTTTAGGAATGATGTTATGTTTTTCTTACAAACAGGTTCCAGCAGGAAGAAATCCAAGAGTCCCGATGACTTCCAGATCAGCTTCCCCATGAGAACCAACTACATGTACGGGCGGGTGAAGAGGACTCTGCTGCAGGAGATCTTCGCTCTGACTTTGTGTCTATGGATGAAGGCGGGCGCGGGACCCAGCCTGGGGACGCCGTTCTCTTACTCCGCCCCTGGACAGGCCAATGAACTGGTGCTCATTGAGTGGGGGAACAACCCCATAGAGCTGCTGATCGATGACAAGGTGAGGGAGAAGAAATATGAACCCCACATAAATTGCAGAGTTAAAGAGCCGTAAAACGTCTTTTCTCAAAGACCTTTTTACTCTGAGTGACTGGATCCTACATGAAAACATGATTTTCCAGCTACAACAGTTTTTTATTTCGAACGACACACTGCATTTTCTTTTCTCTGAGCTCTTCTCACTAGTCGAAGTAGGTGGAGCTCAGTTAAAAAAGGTCCCATTTCCATGCACCAATTTGATGACAGTTGAAGCGTTGTTTGGTCACTGTCACTCAAATCTGATCAAATCACACCCACTGTCCTCACAAAGTCATTTCGCTGAGTTTTGAGTGTTAAACTCTTAAATCACTTTTTTGAAACTTTATAACTATTCATTGTTGCACAGAAATACTTGAGATTTGAAGGCAGGTTTTCAGGGGCTTTAAAAATGACACATGTATTTAAAGGGGAACTCCGCCTGTTTCACACATTAAAGTCTGTTTACAAGCCGTGGAAAAATACTACCACATAAATGCTGAAAGTTGTATGAAGAAATGCAGGTGGCCATGTTGCATTGTGGCATTAGGTTTTGACAAAGAAGAAGGATGTGTGGAATAAAAAAAGACAATACCTCTGGTTATGCTGCATCGAATTTTGATACCTTTTCTAAAAACTATCCAGTGTGAATCAGGTGATAAGACTGCCATGTTCTCATTTACAATTTGAAGCCAAGTTGTCAGGGGCTGTTAAAATGGTACATGTAGCCTGTTCCTCATCCGAGCTCCAACTCTCTACCTCCACCTGCTACCTAAACTGTTTAACAACATCTAGAGAGGGATGAATCTACAAGAGGGTAAAATTGTGGCAGAGGCACAGCATGACACTGAACCTGATCCTTAAAGATGAAATCAACTCCTCCTGAAATCTTGTCTTTGCTGACTTCCAGTGGTCTAACTTCTCATCTTGCTGTAGTGATGCACAGGTGTACTTATTGAGAGTGGTTACAGGTTCTTGCATGCTTGTAGTTTATGTATCTAAAATATATTATCCCAGGACGTGTTTATGTGGGTGTGTCTCACCATCATCACTTTCCCATTTGCAGGCGGTGACGTTGCCCCTGTCTGTGAGTGATGGGAAGTGGCACCATGTGTGTGTGACCTGGTCAACACGGGACGGACAGTGGGAGGCCTACCAGGACGGAGTGCAGAGAGGGTCCGGGATTAATCTCTCTCCCTGGCACCCCATCAAACCTGGTGGGGTCTTCATCCTGGGACAAGAGCAGGTAAAGACAGAGGAAGTTACTTTTTTGCAGGTGCACACAAACCTTGACAGTTGAAGATACATACCTGTGAGCAACTTTTTTTTTTTCCCTCAGGAGGCTCCTTCACACAGTCACTATCTAAACTCCCAAATTTCAGAAACCATTTGACTTGATTCTGTTTTATATTTTTCTCTTTTCATTATTTCTTTCACATTATCTTTTATAGCTGTTGAACCGTCTCATATGTCGCTTATGAGTGAAAACAATGATAAAGGTAGAAAAAGGTTTGACTATACTGGTGTCTCTTTTCTCCAGGACACGCTTGGAGGTCGTTTTGATGCCACTCAGTCGTTTGTGGGCGAGATGTCGGATGTCCACATGTGGTCACACGTCCTGAGCGCCAGTGACATCTACAACCTGGCCTCCTGCAGCAGCCACCTCAGAGGAGATGTCATCGCATGGTCCGATACAGAGGTGGAGCTTCATGGAGGCGTTGCCAGATACCCCTTTGACTCCTGTCACTGAAAGGCCAAGAAAAAAGAACTAGGACATTTCCTGGAATGTACGGAGAGCATCTATCGTGTAATAGAAACTACAGGGAGCGAAGAAGGAGCAAGAATAAAACAACAGTCCTTTTGACGTTGTCATTTTGACAGGACAATCATTCAGTGGCACCAACTCCTCCACACTCTGAATCAATGCCTTCCTTTAAACTTAATCAGTGACTTTTTAATAAAAAGAAGAAAAAAAAAAGAATCCGACTCATCTGTGTTTACAGATTGTGTGTAGGACGTTAGTTACTGGACATTATCTAATGTGTTCATAAGCTAGTGTTTTCTTTTAAATGGACAGGTGCTGTATGTGACATATTGTCATATTGTTAATAAAACTACACACTGTGGGGTCTGTGATAATGTTAGCAGACCTCTCGTGGCTTCTGATGTGGTGAAGTGACAAACCGTATCTTGTTAGTACGACACTGATACCGATAGAAATGTGCTGGGAAATCTTTTTTGTACTCTGGATTCTCTTCTTTACAAGGTTTCCATGGAGGATACAGCTAATTTACCAAAGAAACTGTAGCATTAATTTGTGTCATTTTAATAATCTATGTATCATAGATAGATTAATGTATTATTTTGGAAAAAATAATGAAAAGCCAGTCAGACAGAATGTTGCGTTTTTCTGGTGGTTTTACAATTATTACAGGAACTCTTGACACAATTATGTATTGTAAAATGGCTCCTTTAAACAAATGATAACGTTTATTATGTCTTTTTTCCAACTTTTGTATATTCTGCAATGCATGTTTGTTCACCGACATTCCTCATTGTATTTTCAGTAGATCTGATTTTAACTTTGTGAAATCTGATGTATTTTGTGTAATGAAGTCATTGCACTGTGGCTTTTTAATTTCTGAAATGCTCTGGCCTTGACTGTATATTTGTTATTGTACTGTATAAATCAAATACTGAATTTAGGCCAAGTTAGAACTTTGATGTTATGTATTGTGATTTTTCCAAATGTTAAGACAATGTAAATTAAAGTGTGAAAGATAGATCTTAGTTTTTCATTCTTTGTAGAGTTCAGTTTGTGGTGATGCAGATGAATTGGCAGCATCTCCTTGGGGGGAGTATTAATATTAACTGATGGCATTAAATATTAACACTTCCAAAGTTACTTAAGTTTACAAAACTCAATGAATTGCCGCAACTGCAAAGGCCCAATATATACTGCTTCAAGGCTTAATCTGTCAATAAAACAAACATCTTCCTCAAACAGCTAAAATATAAGACAAAAACCCAATGGAAAAAAAAACACGGCCACCAGCCCATCATCTCTGTTTACCTTTTATTGTTACACAGTAGTTTACTGGCACCAATGTATCGTGGTTTCCTTTTGCTACATTTACAGATGATCTATCCATCTTCACCTCACAGTAAACAAAAATAAATAAATACAAAATAAAGACGTTTTCTGAAAGAGGTGGCTCTGGGGTCAAAGGAATCAGAAACAGAGGACCAGTTTCGGTCTGATCATTTCAGTGTTCATTCTTTTGTTTTAATGGAAACATCTGTTGTCCCAACAGTATTTTTTTGGCAACTTTGCACTTCAAGAATATCCAGAAAGTGAAGGCCTACAGACTGTCCATGTGATGTATACAAGCACAAACATGGAGTTGTAAAATTAGGCCTTTGTCAGTTTGATGAAGTGGGAGAGAAAAAAGGCAATCAAAGATCTGTGCTCGAGGGACCAATCACTTACTGTGTCTTTAAAACAAGGTCTACATGTTTTGAAAGAGAAAAGACCCCATTCAGCTTCATGCAACACGATCAGATGAGCAAATACAGCACAGGTTGGTCAGAAACTGTTGCTGCTATAGCTGGAACTGACCAGGTGATGGTGTTATATACTTCTACACAGTTCATGGTTCATCCATCAGCATATTGCAGTGTGTGTGTGTGTGTGTGTGTGTGTGTGTGTGTGTGTGTGTTGTGGTGTGTGTGTGTGTGTGTGTGTGTGTGTGTGTGTGTATATGTGTGTGTACACCAGTAGAGGATGCTAGAGTATTGGAGTTGTATCGTCAGTCAAAGTAACAGCATTTTCTCCAAAATGCTAAAATTGATAAAGTGCAGTAGACAATTATTTTTCCTACCATCTAAAAATGCCAACTTCAATAAACTACTAGAAATAACAGTTTATGAACTGTATGTCAAGCAAATCTATCACTGGACACAAATCTAAAATTGTTACTGATTCATTACATCTGAATAATTTTACTATCATGTAATGAATCAAAGATTTATTAGTGTTCCTTGTTTTATTGTCTTTTCATATTTATCATTGTAATATGATAGAAAGGGCAGCCAATGAAATAAAGACTAGATGTTAGTTTAACAGACTGTGAGACTGATTACCGCTTGTGCTTCACTGAGTCTGATTTACTCAAAAAACCATCTGTATGGTCAAGAGTTAAATCAGACTACAAAACATCTCCTAAATATCTCCCTAGTTTCCAAAACTATCATTAAGACAATTGACTTTATGCATAAACCAGCTTCCACATAAAATGCCGTTTTTCCAAGTCGACAGGGAACACTAACACCTTTCAAATCAGTGCACTAGCATGATCAGCGATGCATCAGTACCTACGACTGACGCCTCAGTTTATCAACATGCAGGTCTACAGTAGCTCGTACAAAAATCAGATTATAACAAAAGATAAAGAATAAATTAAATCATTTCTATGTGTATCGTAAACAAATATGCTAACATCTATTTACAAAAAGTATACATTGTAATGAGCTGCCTTTGTGATTTCTTGAAACTCACTATAGCCAACAGACCTGGCTCTAACAGTTAAATGTCTGAGTTATTACTAGTGAGAGAGATGTCGGTGTTCGTCTTGTAGTGTTGCGCAAGAAGGAAATGATTTGTGGCATGCCGTAACGTTACACGTGAGAGGACATGATGATCATAGCTGAGTATAGTGTTATAAAGGAATTGCTAACAAAGCCTCCAGACTGGTAGCCTACTATGGTTTTCTACTTCGCTATTGCTCCAACATGTTAAGAAACATGCTGAAGAACATATACGTCTCTGAGAGCTGAAACAAGCAGCTGTCTGCAAGGGCAGAAACTGCTCGTGTTTCCTCTGTTAATTCTAAAGCAACGTGTTGTCTAAAGACACGACCATATTTAAAGATCAACAGCAGCCTGGTGGTGTGAATCAGCAAATCTAAACAGTCATAAACAGTGACATTTTCCTGACATAACGGTTACCTATCTAACCCTACCTAAGAGTGGACAGTAGTAGTGTGTATTTAAAGCCATTGAGTAAATGACACATATCTCAGTAATCTGAAATCATTTGCTGCTTTGTTTCTCCTCCTCTCTGACCAAATATAACTGAATCTAAATCTTGTTAGTGTTTGAATAGTGAATTCACATTTTGTCTGGGGTAAGCACAATCAAGAAAGGCAATTTCTCATTTAGGCAGCATCCATAAATCTGAAAGAAGAAGTCACGAGAACTGAAGCTGCTTGCTACCCTGAATAAGACCATATTCACACTAATGCAGATAAATCTCAGAAAGGTGTTTGTTTCATGGGTTTTTCATCCACACTGGCATTTTTAGACTGAATTCTGAAACTCTTACACATGCTAAAAAGCAAATACAAGATGTCTTATATTAGGTACACCCAAGCCAATGACCTAAAGCATTTCTGCAGAGCAACTTTCTGCTATTTTAAAATTTTCTGTGGTTTACAAAGCAGCTGTGGGGAAGGAGGTGCACCAGCAAGTCAAGACTCTTAAGACTGATCATGGCGATCTTAGCATTTTTGAATCCTCTTTGTTCCCAGTGTTAGCAAATTGGTCCACATTTGGTGAGCGGCTTTAAAATGTTTGCCAAGTGTAAATAAAATGCCAAAACAGGACAAAATGTGTTTTAGAAATGATCTGCATTACAGTGAATATGGCCTACGACACGTTTCACAGTTCACTTAAATGCTGAAGGAGAGAGGAATGTGGTGAGAAGACAGGACAGGCGGTGTGCTGTGGCTGTAGTGTGTCAGGTTGAATATAACAGCAGTAGTGTAAGAACCAAGATAAGAAGAGGCAGCCACAGTGGGTGAGCTCCTCACTCTGAATGTGGCTTTCAAAAGTCTGGTAGACAGGATAGCAAGGAGTCCTCAAATTAAGAAGAGGATGTGTTTTGGGGGTGGGGAGGTGGGGTAACAAAACTCATGAACAGGTAGTAAAGAGCAGGGACAAAAACATGTGTCCCATGTTGGAAGGAGGGGTGTGAAGGAGAGAGGAAGACAGGCAGAGAATCAAGGGATTCATCTACGGTTGTTCCTCTTTCTTCTTCAGTGATATACGTTTCTTTCTGGCTGCAAGCATTTCGTAGAAGGGATCCACACTGACGGCAGACCTGGACAGATCACAAAGAAACAGTGAGTGAGGTGCGTCATCAGAATATGCAATTAAAAGGTGCATGTACAATCAAAGCAGCAGTTAGGACATTGAAATAGAACGCTACACAGTGTTTCAATATTATTCTCCATTTAACATTGACGTACTTGATGCTGTGGATCCATTCGTCCTTCTCCTCCGGTGTGGGGGCAGAGATTCGGTACACCATGTGGTTCCCCTCCACTACCCTCCCATCAGCTTCTGTCTTGCACGCCTTAATCAGCTGACCGCGGTTGTTGGGGATGTACAACTCAAAGCAGTTCTTTTGGGAGAATGGCGAAGAACCTTAGATGAACAATCATGGTACAACTACTTGACTATTATGTCAATCAGGAATGCAAACTTACTGGTTTCCTCGGATCTTCAACCTCACGGATGCTTAGGTTTTCCAAGGGGATGATACCTCGCGGCTCCTTATCCTGTTAGTGAAATGCACAGACAAAATTCAAAAGGCTTTTATTTTGTGTTTTTATGCGTTTAATCGGGCCCAATATAAATCTGAGAATGTATGAATGAAAATAAATCCAAACAATCTCAGCATTATTCCTGAAAATACTGCCAAATTTGATAAAAAAAAAAAAATAGATTCCTTTTAATCTCAGAAGTATTCTCAAATAACAAAAGAAATAAAATGAATTCAGAACCAATTTGATAAAAACCAGTTAACCAAATAAAACCAACTTATCTTCTTGTTCTTAAACGCAGCACTCATGACTGGCCTTTCAATACACAATGAATAATTTATATTCTTTCACTTTCACTTGTGTCTCTTTTGTTTTTACTGTGCATGAGCAACCAAACCAAGTGCCCCTGTGTGGGCGAAAGCTATGAATCTAAAACTTGAGTTCAGTAACCCAGCTTCCTTGAAGATACACTGTTGCCTTCTGCCTTGAAATGACTTTCCCTGTCACAGCTAAATTTTGAGCTCAAACTAACTATTTTTAAGCATTACAATTTATCACTGAATAATCCAAAAAACTCCAAATTTCACAACAAATCCTAAGAAACGCCAATGCAAATACATACATGTCTGGACACAATAAGCATAAGAAGCTTTTCATCATCCTGTGTACAGAACCTGATGCACCTACATAGATTGATGGTGTCGCAGAGGAGAGGAAACCAACACTTACTGTAGTGTATTCAAAGTAATAAAGGCAATTGTCTGTGAGAATGAACCATCGGCGTTTCCAGGTTTTCACCCGTCCTCCTGAAAAACAACAACACAGTCATGATGATGAGTGAGAGGAGCGTGAAATAAAGTTAAAGGGATACTAGTCTACAGTTTCTACATTCTTACAGCTCACTATGTAGCTACTTTTTTAACTACAACAACTCTGACCGTACATACCTCCTGAGAAAACAAGCAGCGGCAGTAGAGGGTGGAAATCGCAGGGGAGAAGCAGACACAAAAGGGACCAGGGGATTTAGAGGGAGACAAAGGACAGAAAGAGAAAAAGACAGGGGAGAAACACGAGAAGGAGAGGAAGAGAAATTATATTAGTGACACACAGATCACAGGCCCCGCCATGCAAAAGAAAACAATCAGATTTTTAGACTGCCATGGTGCGAGAAGGTGAGT